CCCTCTGGTGACGCAGGCCAGCTCAAGGCCATACGGTAGAAATTACCTGACTGGGGTGGAAAAGTGTGGACTCAGATAAAATCATCAGTGTACATGGCAATTGTAAGACTTGAAATGTTTTTGTTAATGGGCCATAAAATGAATGCACGTACAGTATAAGGATGATAGTGTAGTTCAGTAAATGCAGGAAGCCTTAAGTGAACAGGTACCCAGCGGTTAGCCCAGAAACTGCTGACATCTTCTATTTTAATTGGTATATATTGAAATCAATATATTGAAATCAATCGCTTTGTGAAATATGCTGCTCTGTCAGGTCGTTTCCTGGTCACTGCCTTCTCCCTCTAATATTTTGACAAGGAAAAATCATTTACTGACAGTTTCTAGTTGCCTAATTTTGCCACATTTAGCCTCTAATAATGCATTTCCTTTATTCTAAGTTGCCTGTGTTTTCACATTTTTAACATCTGTGCGTTGTGTAACTGATAGAATCTTAGGGGAAAAGCAGTATTGGATGTCAATGGTTTTACAGATTTCCTTTGTATTTATATTAAGACCCAAGTTTAATTTTTTTCTGAAGTTCTACTTTTCCTGCTTCAACCTGTCATGCTGTCAAATTAAGTTGCAATTTAAATTGATTAAAAAAAAAAGTGATGGGTATTAAAATACAATTTTAATCATAACCTCTAATCATGAACTCAGGAATATTTCTCTTAGGTTAAAAACATTCGTGGGGCGCCTGGCTGGCTCAGTCTGAAGAGCATGTGAGTCTTGATCCTCGGGGTCATGGGTTCAAGCCCCACATTGGGTGTGGAGATTACTTAAAAAATTCTTAGAGGCGTCCAAAGAAATAATTTTGGGCCAGATTCGCATACAAGATGTATAGTAATTTCATGCCATCTCTCTCACTGCGTGTGCTTGCATGAATATGTGAGTGCATGTTGGTGGGAGGTGGTAATGCTTTGCTTAATAGTTGGCAGTATGACCTTTGTGATCGTATGATTTTGCATAGTTATCTTAGGTGCTTGAGAAGACAGTAATGGACAGCACGGAAATGTGTGTGTGTATCTGAGTTTACAGTCTAGTGGCTTAAATATCCATTCTATAAAGTAGCAATGTGGTTTTTGTTATTAGCAAAAAGTGCAGGTTATATAGACAACTGTCGCAGGCTAGAGACAGAAGGTTACTATTTTCCGAAAACCTCATGCAGACTGACAACATCAGGGTCTTAGTAGGTGTAATACATACAGTATATACAAATCATAGCAACTCACCAAAGTGGCAATAGCACTGTTAACTGTGGGGAAAATAGTCAAACTGTGTAATCAGAGAAATGCAAATTAGAGACTGTGGACTTCCTCATTTTTATCAGTAGGAATCTTTTCTTTCAAGTAATCAAAGCCAGGGTAGGAGCTGAAACTGGTAGAGTTGATAGCATTATACACTAATATCCCTCCCCCCCCCTTCTTTAGAAAGCAACTCAGCAATACATTGAGCCATGACAATGATCTAAACTTGTGGCCTAGTCATCCTATTTTGGAGATCTTTCCTAAGGAGATAAAAAACAAAATTTTTTTTTAAAAACTTTGTATATGAAGATTTCCCTCATAATATAAGAAGTTTGTAAGCACCTAAACCCTAAGAATAGGGATTGGCTAAGTAAAGTATAGGAATAATACTTGGTAGGCCATTGTATATACATTAAACAATAAATATACTGGAATGTCAATAACAAAATAGGACATAAATGGTACACTGATTACAGTTGTTTTTCTTTTTAAAGAGTATAAGTAACAAAGTAATGGTTGTGAGTTTATGAGTAATTTTTAAACAAAGTATTATTTTGACTCTTGTAAATTTTTGTTCATGATATTTGTTAAAGGAGTGAGCAAGTGACTTTTATCTATTTGCACCTTTAATGTGATCATCATTACTGCCGATTAACCAGATCCCTTTCAGTGACAAATTAAAATTGATCTTAAAATTTTTTAAAAACAATATTGACTCCTGTAACCAGAGTTCATGGAGTAAACTGGGTACCTCTTGACCCAGGAATTAAATGGCCTTCTTAGAACCTGTCTCGGTTCTGCTCTCTTCTCTTGAGATCTCCTAGCAAGGTCCCCCTCCCCCAATGAGAGCAAAGGAAACATGGGACAGCTCCAGGCTGGGAGCCCACAGCTTGGCCTTGCTCAGTGGTTCTTTGGAAGTCCCAGGGCATGTGCCACCCTAGAACTCTAGGTGGAGGAGGGGCAGTGCCAGTTTCCTTCTTGTCGCTTGGGCTAATTTTGCTTTGTTCCTGCATGTTGCCATTTCTTTTATCCCAGCTCTTGATTTTTGTACTTAGATCGGTAGTAGAACATCTTGGTTTGGGGTGTGTGTACATGTGTAGCCTGCTTCTTCTCCTTTGATCCTGGTACTTCTTTTTCCTGGATTTAATTTTTTTTAACTTAAAAAAATTTTTTTTGAGTTTATTTACTTTTGAGAGAGAGAGAGAGAGAGAGAGAGAGCACGAGGGAAGGGCAGAGAGAGGGGGAGAGATAGAACCCCAAGCAGACTCTGCACTGTCAGCATGGAGCCCGATGTGGGGCTTGAACTCATGACCTGAGCCAAAACCAAGAGTTGGATGCTTAACCAGCTGAGCCACCCAGGCACCCCTAATTTTTTTTCCTAATTTTTAAAAATGTTTATTTATTTTTGAGAGAGAGGGAGATGCAGAATCAAAGCAGGCTCCATCCAGGTTCTGAGCTGTCTGCATGGAGCCTGATGTGGGGCTCAAACCCACAAACTGTGAGATCATGACCTGAGCCGAAGTCGGATACTTAATTGACTGAGCCACTCAGGTGCCCCCCCCCATTGAAAAGATTTAATTAAACTTTTGTGGTGCCATAGGCACTGATACATAGTATGTTTACTTCTGCAAACATTGCTGTTTATTTTTTGGATTCAAATGCAGTATATTTGCTTTCTTTTTGGTAGGAAGTTGGTCATGAACTCTTTTGGAAGCTTTAGGTTAGAGGCAGCTGTGAGAGTCTTTGTCGCTTTGAGCACAGCTGAATTCATTTATTTTCCCAATAGCTGACACTGTCTCATTTTTCAAATATGTGAAAAAAGTTTAATTTTTATGGGTCTTTTACATAAAAATGTTGAATTGTTTCTCCAAAAGCAGTTTTAACAAACTTCAAATTCAGTGAAGGAATTTCCATGAAGAACAAAGCTATGTTTAGCTATGTAAATTTCTAGTGCTGGCAGCACCATTAAAATGGATGGTTCAGATTCCTGTTAAACCAGGAAGTCCCAAATGATGTTTGTGCAAGATTCTAACTATATTCCTTGGAGGAAAAAAGGATTCTAGGTAGATAAATTTTATGAAATGCTGAATTAGACAGGATTCACTGTAAGAATGATTAGTTTTTAATATATCATTGGACATTTTGATTCTCTAATAGCCACAGATACTGTTTAAAGAAAAAAAATGTTAATATTTTATTTTATTTTTTGAGAGATGGAAGGAGACAGAGCATGAGCAGGGTAGGGGCAGAGAGAGGGAGACACAGAATCTAAAGCAAGCTCCAGGCTCCAAACTGTCAGCACAGAGCCCGATGCGGAGCTCAAACCCACCAACGCGGGATCATGATCTGAGACAAAGTCATATGCTCAAAAAAAAAAAATTTTTTTTTTGATTGGACTGCCAACACCCCTTTTAAAAACAGAACAATTATTATGTGGTTTCTTAAACATACTCTGTCAGGATCTTGGTCCAGTTTCTTACAAGATTGACTAAATGCTTTGAGATGGACATTGCTGAGTGTCAATAAAGTTTTGTGGGTTTTATTTTTCCTTTTTAAGAGAATTTTGAGTGGTTCTTACAAAGGTTGTTGCAATGTGAAAGTCATTTATTTGATAGAAATATCAAGCTGTCTTGTCAAACACAATGAAGTAACCCAAAAATATATTTCAGAGCTTAAAAAGAGCAAAGATTATATGGAACCAGACAAAACCTATTTGTGCATTTCCTATTTCTTGCTCAAACTGCTTTGCTTACCAGACTGTCACTAAACATCTTGAGGAAATTCAGGGATCATTTTATTCGGAATCTTAGACACACCAGAGGTTTTTTGTTTTGTTTTGTTTTTTATATGACAACTTTGTTTCCCAAATGGTGGCAAACCTTGTTCTATGAAAATTCAAGGACCTGTTTTTGTATTCTTGCATGAATAGAGAGACTTTTTCCCACCTTGGTGCAGGATGGACGATAGACAGACATACCTTTTACATAGGCATGGGAAAAATTTTTTACAAGTAACCTCATGAACTGCTCCAGAAAGTACTCTTATTGAAGCCCCAAATGAATCATGCAGCATGGACAGAAGAAGCAAGAGTTTGGCTTTAGAAATCAAGGGCAAAAGTTAAAAACCACTTGCTATTATGGAAGTGTACCTCAAAGATGAGAACATTGAACCTTGTATACATACAGTCCTCTTAATTCTACCTGTGTATAGCTCCCTACATAAACCACAGCTAATTCAGTGAGTTCATTTGTTGAATGGAGTTAGAATTAGCCATTTGATTATCTGAGGAACACAAGCTTGCCAAAAGCAACTTGTTTGGTTTTGGCACATTTGATATATTGAGCTGGTATCTGACAGTAATTAGCCACAGCATAACTTGCTTCTTGGGACTGTTTCTAGAATATGCTGTTAATATCAGCTTAAAGGATGGTAATGGGATTTTTAGTAAGTAGGAGGGGGAAGGCACATATTTCGTCTAAAATTTGCATAGGTTATTTAGGTGCAAGTTAGAATAAAAGTCTAAGACAGCGCCTGGTTTTATTCCACATGTGTGGAGAGATTCTACAATTTTGCAGTGTCCTGGTATATTTTTTATATTGTTCCTGTTACTAAAATTGGCTTTTTGTCATTACTAAAAACTCTTCCCAAGACTGCTAAGTGATTCAAATTGATGTGTAGCTATTTTTAAAATCATGTCTTTTTCTACTCAAACCATCATACCTTTTCTTCCTATACAGACTTAGCTTTGGAATCAAACCCTTCTGACCATCCAAGGGCAAGCACAATTTTCCTGAGCAAATCTCAAACAGATGGTAAGACAGTATTTTTTTTTCTTCTGAAAAAAAGATTGAAAACCGTCTTTGTTTTGTGTATTATAGAAGGAACCTAGAAGAACTCATATGTTGGTTTAAGTGTTTCACTTTTTCATGTATTCACTTATTTTAATATGTGATGATATACTTTCGTTGTCACTGATTTAGTTAGCAGAACACGTGGACTGTTCACACATTTGCCACCTCTTTATCAACACAGTCAGTTGACCACATGATTTAGATGTGGTCTAACTCATACCACTTTGTCTTTTTCCCCTGTTCCAAAGAGCACACATTTTAGAGATGAGTGATAGGATTTAGGCCACAGTTAGGTTTTCATTTAACAAATTAAAAAAATCATCAATTTATGGGGATTAAATCTGTGATTTTGGCCCCATTTTACACAGTGCTCAACCAAACAAGCCTATCTCACATCCACATTTATGCCATTCAGAACTTTTGAGTTATTCAGAACTTCCTCATCCTAACGTAGTGATGTGGCAGGATTTGTAGGAACAAACATAGCCTGTGGGGTTTCCTAGAAGGTTCGCTTCCACAAGTGAAACTAATATACATTGCCTGTGCCCTTGATTTAGAATGAGAGTCTGAACTGGAGATTTTTTAGCACTCCTGCTTTCCTGCTTATTTTCCTTAATGTTATGTTAAATCCTCATTTATTTGAACTAAAAAGCCATACGTGACCAAGTTTTTCAGTTGATGATGACAGAAATAAAAGAAGTGAGGGTTCCATAATATTTGAAGTGATGCAGCACAATAAATAATGGAGTGTTTTAACCTGCATGTTCATAGTGTGTGTACTTAGTCTATCGCAAGCAGATCACTTCTGGTTAGCATTGCTGTATTTCTTAGGTTCATCCAGAAACATGGATTGCCCACCTGATACAGACAGTGTGGAGACAGTTAAAAGCTATCTCATGTCTCTCTCGCCTCAGTCATAAGGAGTGCGTACCTCTGATGTCACGCCACATTAAAGGAGACAGTGTGGGAAACAAAGTGTGGCCCGAGACCCTCATTGGACCCTTTTATTCTACTGCTGTCCTTTGTTAGAGCAAAGTGATTTTGTGTGCTGTAGATATGTCCAGTTAGGTTAACATACTCATTAAAATATAAATTTAAGGTAGATTACTTTCCAGTTGTGTAATGACCCATTTATTTTTTAGTAAGGTGTATTAGTAGATTACCAATAAGTGCTTCAGGATGCTTCCAGGATACTGATGCATCTACAGATCAGTGCCTGGCCAGAGACTGGTTCTTAGAGCTGGCAGATCCTGGTAACTAAAGTAAGCTATATAGAGAGAATTAGAAAATACTACTGTGTAGTGGTTCAGATATAGAACAGATAAACATTTTTATTAGCTAAATTTTTACCTGGTGTGGTTTGCTTTGTCCTTTTCTTTTGTACGTGGGGAGCCTTTTATTTGTACCTAACGGAATATCTGTCGAGTCAAAAAGTAAAACTAAGTCTTTAGATTTTACTATAGGATTCATCTTGCTAGGTGATTTAAATTATGAATTTTGTTGGAAATTATATTTTAAAAATGGAATTTGATCTCCTTTTGTATGTTGGTAATCCATCAGATAATTAGCAGCTACTTTTACTTTTCTATGGCATTTGTATCAGAATTGATCAGTTAATCTTTTTTATTCTTAGTGCGAGAAAAGAGGAAGAGCAACCATTTAAACCATGTAAGTAAACAGTTGAAAAGTTAAAAAATTAATAGTTTGAATTAAAAATGTGTCTGCCATTATTCCTAAAAAATGTAATGGATCCAGTATTGTTAGTGTGGACCTCTTTTTGTAGGTTTTCTAAATCTCTTCTATTTTCCTCATTATGAAATGTATTCAGGAAAGTCTTTGGCTTAGTAATCCTCATTTTTTAAGGGTCCTGACATTTGACTTAAATTTTAAAAACATGATTGTGATATAAAGTTCTACCTTCAATTTGTTCGCTTTAATTTTTTAATCTTATTTTTTAACCAAAGTAACAAAAATATACCAAGTTAATTTGTAGTGCTCTCTATCCACTTGCTGTCATGCCAGGTGAAAGCTTAGCTCCCTCACTCACCTTGGCCTTACCTCCCTCCCTCTGTTCCCTCAGCCTGTATCATGGTTCTTATTCAATCAGCACCAATGTTTTCTTATGACTGTGCAGATACTCACTGCTGAGCTGTGTAGTTCTCTGCCTTCTCCTGTATACACTTCATCCTTTTTCTTAAACATTTCTGAAACCTGAGCACTTCAGCACTTCTCCAGGGTAATCCAGTCCCCATTTTCCTAGCCAACATGATCTCACACAGCCAAATGCTGTAAGTAGCTCCCTGGCGGGCCTTCCTACTTTCACATACCCCATTTTTTGTGTGTGTGGAATTAATTTCCTGACGATATTCACTTGCTTATTTTCTAACAGCTATTTTTCCCCCAAATGCTGTAACATTTGTCACATGTCTATCAAAAATATTTTTCGTTTACTAAAACACATCTGTTCCATTTTTTTTTTGGAGACAGCCTTTTGTCATTCTACTCCAGTAGAGTAGACTGGTTTTTGCTAGGCCAGCTCTGTGTCTGTTTTCCTAGGATATCTCCTTGAAGTCATCTGGGATCTCACATAACTACTGTCATGTTTTGGGTCCCCCTGTGTCCTAGAATCTTTGTTTCCCTTTGTCTTGGTAAATGCCCTTGTTTTACTGGAGTCCATTTTTCTAGGAATGGGCAGAAGTTTTTAGAGATCTAGCCTGTCTCAAACTCCTGTTTGAGAAAGTATAGAATTCTAGGTTGAAACTAATTTTGGCAGTTCTACAGACATTTCTCTTTTGTCTTCTCATTTACAGTGTTGCTCATAAGTCTATTGACATTGTGCATTATTGATTTTAGTCATTGTTTCCTCATCCCTTCTTTCTCTGGAACCTTTGAGTACCTTCCCTGTCCTTGGGATTCTGAAATTTCATAATATGGTTTGGTATGGACCTTTTCATTTTATTGGGGCCAGTAAGTCTGTAGACCATCCCTCCTCCTAGTAAAGTAATTAATTAATTAATTTATTAATTTATTTATTTATTCTGTTTTGGTATTTTCTGTTATTCAGATGTTGGGCCTCTTAGACCAGTATTGCTGCATGGATCTCTAATCTTTTCCCCTTCTGTTTTCATTTTGTCTTTTTGTTTTACTTCCTAGAGATTTTCTTGACTTTATGCTCTGACCCTTCTCTTGAATACTTAGTTTTATCTTATTTTTAATTTATAAAGGTCTCAAAAAATGACCTTTAAATGATTTTTATTTATAGCATTATTATTCTTATTATGCTTATTTATCGCATTTTAATTCTTTCACCAATGCAATTTCTTGTCTTTCTGAGGGCCTTTAAGAGTTTTTTAAGTTTCATTTGCTTCTTAATTTCATCATTCCTATCAGTTTCTTTTTCCTGTTTCAGTCTCTTGTTGGAGGCTTCTCTTAAATGTGTAGTGGTCCCTGCCTATCTCAGATCTCATTGGAAGTCCTTGTTAACTGATGGGCCTCACTGTGGAGATTTGGGGCTGAGCCTCTGAATTCTGAGCCTGCCATGGCTTCTTAAGACAACTGGCTTTCTTGTTCCTGTTCCTGTAGCATCCTGGTTGTGTTTTCTGTGTTCTTCCATGTCACCTGCCATTCCTTTGTCTAGTCAGGTCATCTTTCACACGTTAAAAATCACCTGCTGTTTATCCTGTGTTGTGTGTAACCTCTGAAAGGAGGGGGGGCAGAAATAGATATGTGATCGTTTACCATGTTTAACTCAAACTTAGAATCTGTTTTAATTTAATACAATTAATCATATTAAATCAGACAGTATTTTTGGTTATCCCTGTAATTTGCGTATTATACTTTTCTACTAAGGCTTTGGTTAACAATTCAAACCATGCACCTTGTCATATTGCCCCATTAATGCACAACATAGATAAAGCGTAGTTTTTATTAATGCGTAAAGTGCTGGGAATTTTTAAGTTATATTGCAAGAAAGACAAAACTTGTCCTGTGAAAAAGGGGAGACACAAAAGTGAACTTCAGCAGTAGGCACAATGGAAAAGTCAGTGGGTGGGGGCAGGATTTCAACAGGTACTTGACCTTTGATGGTAAGTTTTGGGTTGTGACTTCTTAGACTTCTAGGTGTGATTATTTTCTAGTCTTTGCCATTGAACCTTAAGTCTATGAAATAACCTCTCCTTTTGTTGTAAAGATTGTAAAAGCCCACCTATTTTGTTAGTGCTCAATGAAGATAAATCCTGCCTTTGTCTCTTCTAGTGACCACTGAAATAATATCTATGAACACTACACTGCCAGTACTGTTTTTTGCTTTTTTGTTTTGTTTTTTTGTGTTTTTTTTTGGTTTTTTTTTTTTTTTTAGTATTTGCATTTTATAACCCTGTGTTTGTCAGTATAGTTTATTGAGGCTGTAAGCCACCAACAGTTAAGCCTTTAACCATAGAAGACAATTGTCTTAAAATTTCAGCTAATTTTAAGCTAATAAATAATTACAGCTAATATATCCAGGCTTTGCTCAGAGACTTAATTCTGCCACTCTCTAGTTGAATATTGGATATTACTGAATACTGAAAAGTAGGCCTGGACTGATGGGGAAGTATTCAATGTTTCTTTGGTTAGATCTAGTCAGTAGACAGTAAGTTCCTGATTAACTAACTCCCTCCCCTGCCCAATATGGCTATAAGGCCACATGTAATTAAAATTTCTTAATGTTTCATACTAATATTTTTAGAGACAAACCAATATACATTTATAATAGAAAAAAAAAGTTTTAAACATGTATTTTTGAGAAACAGAGCACAGCAGGGGAGGAGCAGAGAGAGAGGCAGACACAAAATCCAAACCAGGCTCCAGGCTCTGAGCTGTCAGCACAGAGCCCGATGTGGAGCTCCAACCCATATACCATGAGATCATGACCTGAGCCGAAGTCAGACGCTTAACTGACTGAGCCACCCAGGTGTCCCAGAAAAAAAATTTTTAATGGAGGAAAGTGGGAGTAAATATAACCAACCCAAAGCTTTACCAACTAGTCTACACTTTGGTGCATTTTCTTCCTATTCTTTTTATAGCTCCCCAGTGTAGGTTTTTGGTCAGAATTGACTTTTCTTATGATGTAATATACACTATATTATACCCAGTAGTAGTGGCCTAAAAACATAACTTTTTTCCCATTTAGAATTTTTTTTTTAACATTTATTTATTTTTTAGAGACAGAGACAGAGCATGAGTGGGAGAGGGACAGAGAGAGAGGGAGACACAGAATCCAAAGCAGGCTCCAGGCTCTGAGCTGTCAGCACAGAGCCTGTAGCGGGGCTTGAACCCACAAACTTGCGAGGTCATGACCTGAGCCAAAGTCACTTAGGGGACTGAGCCACCCAGGCGCCCCTAGAATGAAAGTATTTAAATGGATTAATTTTCATTTTCATGCTGTATTTTTTGAGATTCTTAAAGTAAATTACATATTAGCTGAATAGCTTAAGGAACATAACAGTTTTAGATACAGTTGAACATTTCTGGCTTAAAGGAGAAGTTAGTGATACTTTTCAAAAATATAATGTCTGGAATTTTTTATTAATAAGTGAAGTGGCATTTTTATATGCCATGTGGATATTTCTGATTATTGGCTGCTGGCAGTTTTTAAATGCTCTATAATTTAAAAAGTATCAACTAGATTTTTTCTCTGCCCCATCTGTCTTGTATTTGAGGAGGATGCCAGTGGGAGAGTATGACAGGATGGCAAACCCTATTTTATGTTAATAGGAGGAAGGAAGGCTCATCTGAATTAGTAAAAAAACAGAAACAAAAATAAAACCCAACAAACTAAGCACTAAAATTGTTGGTATTTTGTGGTATTGAATGCTGCCATTTTGACTTCTCAGTTATTGGCCTTACTTTAAGGAAGAGATTTGTCCTACCAGAGTTTAGGCTGTTTCAGTATTTGACTGCTGCTGTATACCCCGGCTCTTCCCAGATAAATGGATACTTCTAAAGTGTTTTAAAGATCATTTATTATTGCATAGAGGGTCTCCGGAAGCTCACTGTCACCTCTCCTGACACCACTGCAGATATATTCCGCAGATAAATTTGTATCTGTAGTAAGATTTACCTTCCAACTGTAATTGATTTTTAAATAATTTGTCAGACACTTATGGAACTCCTGATTTGCCCCAGATTCTGTGCTCAGCAGCTGGAGGTGGGAGGAGTAAGAGTCCTCCTTTTCTGGAGAAGCTTACTTTCTAAGGAGGGGGACACCCTGTAAGCAATTGATAGCATGTAACAAGTGGCAGATGAGCTGTGTGAGTGTACAGAAAGAGAAATTTTGTGGTGTGGCTACTGGCAAAGGTATCCTTCCTTGGAGGTAGATGAGATCAAGCTTGCTGAGACATGGAGGAAGAAAAAGACATTGTAGGCAAAGAGAGCAGCATGAGTGAGGCAGGCACGTATAGAATAGAATAGAATTAATACAAATTTTAAATGAATGGGAAGTATTCTGAGGTTCTCGCCTGAGTAATGCAATGGCAATCTTATTCAAACATGAAGTCAAAGTTACGTTGTCGTAAGCTGTTTTATCTGTTTTTGGATGTGAGGGAATCTTAAAGCAATACTCTTACCCTCCAGATAAGGAAACTGAGGCCCAGAGGGACCTATGGCCCCTTCGCTTATTAGTGATAGAGCAGCCCTGGTACAAACAGCCTCTGACTCCAGGACGTTTGTTTCATCACACTGTCTCCTGAACTGACACATTTGTTGTTGGCTTTCATTTACTGTGATAAAATGTTTTTGCATCAATATTCTACAAGGCATTACATTTTATTGTAGTAAATGAATAGTAGAAATGGAAGTCTCAGCTGCTTTTCATTGCTTAAGAAAAAAAACACTGAAGTCTTATTCTAAACTTTTTACCTTGTTATAAAGGGAATTTACAATAGGTGCTTATCAGGTTTGATAATAGGTAATTTATCAAGGGCAGTAGTTCATAACCCATTCCTTAAACCTCATGTGGGAATTTAGAGTATCCACTGGGTTTCCCATAGCACTGCACATGATAGCACACTCAAGCAGTTCATGAAGTATAAGAAAAAACGTAATGCTTTATCGTTTGACATTTTAACCGAGGAAAAAACACACTTTTATAGGTTTAACTTACTGTGACATTTTCTTCTATTTCCCTTCCCCTTCAGGTATCTCCAGGGCAGCTTACTAAAAAGTATAGCTCATGCTCAACAATATTTCTAGATGACAGCACAGTCAGCCAGCCTAATCTTAGAACCACAATAAAATGGTGAGTACAACTAGGTTGCCAAGGGCTGAGTGACAGACCCCCTTATGCTAAAACAGCATCCTAGCCATACTTGGTCATTTCAGTCACTTGATCGTCCTTTTCAGTGATCAGGTTAAGAAACTGGTATCACTTTTATATTGCTTTCAAGGACCTAAATCTGAGTATTCAATTTCCATTTTAATCTTAGAGTACCTGGTGGAAGGGAAAGCCAGTTAGCAAATAAGAAATCCCAGAGAGAGTGCACCTCTTACTTGGTGCATTTCTGTTGTGAAGACATTGTTGAACATGATGAGGAGAGGGAGAGGTGCTTTTTATTGGGTATTTCTAGGAAAAAGTATTTCTTTATGAGTCATAAGTCTAAAACAACGTGTATTACTTTGGAAGCTACTCTTGAAAGAAGGAACAGTTTGTCCCCTACTGGCACCAGAGTGTATCTACATTTAAACGTAATTGAATTTTTGTCAGATTTTCCCTATTGTGTGTTTTTTTACCCTGCCCTTTTTCTGTGTGAAAATTAACTTCTCCTTCCTATCTCTCAGAGGGGGGGAAAATAAATATCGAGCCTATCTTAAGGAACAAATTCTTCAAGCTTTATGGATGAGATTTTCTCAACTGGAAATTTTAACTTAATAGATATACTTAATTTTAATTTTATATGTGTGTATGGATACAGAAATATATCTCCAGGCCCCACTGTATCAGTCCATATATAAAAAAGTACAGCAGAGAACAGAGATGGTTTTGGAAACATAGCTGGTCAGGTTTATAGTTCAGCAAACATGAACAGCGTTGTGATGATGACAAGTATTCCTTAATTTCTGAGAGCACTTCATAATCCACAGTTGGAGTTGCACTTTCGGAACACCCTAAGAATGAACCTTTCAAGCTTATTTAAGAGGAAAAAATAAAACAGGATGCAGTGCTTCTTGACTTCTTTGAGATTGGCCAAGGAACATTTATTAATGTCTCTTTGAGACAGGAGTGTGGATTTTCCAGAACACAGTATGGAAACACTACTTCAAAATATTAATGTTCTCATCTTTACTTTTATTTTTCAGTCTTCAAAACAGTTAGCTTTTAACTTATTTTTTTTCTAACATACCAAGCTTTTTCAGCTACTTAAGTTATTAGTAACTTCTACTTTAATTACAGACAGCAGGTTCACAATCACAAAAATGTAACTTTCCGCTCTCCCTTATAAATAACAGTAGTTGAGATTAAATTGTGTTTCAGCAAAACCTGAGCCCCAAAAGTCTAAAATCCTGAGTTTTTGCACCTAACAAGTGATCACTGAATGTTTTTATTCAGCCAAGACACTAAACCCACGTGTAAAAGAACACTTTACTTTGGCTAGAGTCCCCAGCTTTTGAGTTCAAAAGATTCTAATGTTTTAGTATATAATTCAAAAGTGGTTTTAAAGATTAATCTTGCTCAGACAAGTAGGTTTTATACTTGTTTCTCCCAACTTAGTCTAATTTGTGGAAGTACATTAAGTTTAATTTGCTCTAAGTTTAAAAAATATTGATTCAGTGCATTCATTATTGGTGAAATAAAGGTTTACTGAGAAAATTAATAGGGCAAAGTGGCTTTTAGGAATGATTTTGAAAAATGTTTACATTGGGGTAGGGCATTGTTCTCAGTGGGGAGGGGGGCTATTAGAATCACACGACTTTTTTCAAGATCTGTGTTTCCAAATACATGCATTTTCCCCTCCCCCACCACACTCTCACAACCCTTTTGATAGGCTGAGGAAGGATAGGGGGCATAATTATATGGACAAAAGCCTTCTGGATGATTCATTCATTCCCAGATTTTGTTGCACATTGCAATCACCTAGGGACCTTTAAACACCCTTCTGATGCCCAAGTCCTACCCAATGCCAATTAAATCAGAACATCTTGAGGTGGAAGCCAGGCAGTTTTTAAAGCTCCTCAGGTGATCCTAGTGTGCAGCAAGCTTGGGGAACCACTGCCTGGTTAGAGTGTAGGAGAATGAGAACTGCTTCTGACCATCTGTGGGGCTTTGGGCAAGTCAGTTTTAAGCCTTGGTTCCTTATTGGTAAGATGGGTTGTTTCATTAAATGCTACGTAAGGTTTAGTGGTCCTTTTCATCATAGAACTTTGAATTCTGTGATCTTAAGATCAAATTCAAAATCTGTTTGAAGCACTATAGAAGTATCCATCTTTGATGCTAATAACGTTATAGGCCTTTTTACAAGTGCTCACCCAACAGACCTAGTTAAAATTCAGATTTGCCTTCCCTCAATTGCTTTGAGCTTCATTTTAGATACTTTGAGGGTAAAGGGAAGCATATAACTTAACCCGGAGAACCCCTTGGTTGCCTAATACAAAACATCTGAATAACTTAGGACTAGTGATTTAAAGAGTGTCTGAGAGACTTCTGTCTATCTGTTCGTTAATATTTTATTCAAACTAATTTGGATATACCTGTCATTAAATACTATACTGTGTAGTATGATGCTGCATTGTTAATACCGCTTATTTCGGGATAGCTAGACCTATCATCGATTTTGTGGGTACTTACCGTTAAATTTTCTAATTATGCAAAAGTGATTTTAAATGATTTTATTTGGTACAGAACACTTTAATTTACTCTTAGGGAAATAATGGAAAATGGGTGGGTTGGTGGATAGTGAACTAAATCAACTGAAATGCAGGGCCTAACCTTTTTTTTTTTTTTTTTTTAATACAAAAACTACCTTATGGCTTAAATTTAAGCATGTGTACAAACGATAAAACTTGTACAGGAGGAAAGATTCTGTGGGTAGAAGGACAAATGACAGGGAAAATATGTAATAAATTTATAATTTGTAATTATCAGCCAAAACTTGTCTTCTAACAGCATATTACCTAGCAGTTTGGTCCTCCTATTTTTGCCAAAGCCAACGAACTAAAACAAGGGGGGCAAGTGCCCATATAAACTGCTCTGAATTAGAGGATTTCAGGGCCACTAGGCCTCTGGGAAGATCCTCTCTCCCTCCCAACCCCTCTTAAGAAAATGTCTTCATGCCTAACATGGTAAAATCAATTGTTACAGTTTTCTTTTTCCCTCCACAGTGTGACCTTAGCAATATACTACCACATAAAGAACAGGTGAGCTCTTTTCAAACCTGTCTTGTTATTCCAGCTAATTTGCTAGATATCAAGTTTAGTGTTAGGTAACAACTATAGATATCATTAGAGTAAACTTACAGAGTGCTTTTATTACAATATTGAGACCCAAAGAGTATTTGTTCCTGTGGGTTGTTAGATTTACTGTATTAGAAATTAAATTTGAGAATTAAAAAATTAAATCCACTGTATGTTAAAACATGGTTTTTATGGCACTATTGGAATTTTGAGCTAGACAATTCTTTGTTTGGGGGGATTGGCCTGCATATTATAGGATGTTTAGCAGTATCCCTGGCCTCAGCTCACTAGATGCCAGTAGCACCCTCTCCCTCCCTCCACATTGTGTCTCCAGACCTGGCCACATGTCCCCTGGAGAACAAAATCATCCCCGATTGGGAAGCCCAGTGTTAACAGAAATCATATCTTTTATTAAAAAGTAGCTATTATCCACAACAAGAGAGTGAAAAGTATGTCATTGATTTACAGTTTTGCAAATCTCTTTAATATCTATTTTAATAGAAGACAGCTCATTCTCATACCCTGTCTGTCTTCAGTGATTTGTTTTGAAGAAACACTATGAAGAAGAGCTGGCCTCTTTCAGATACATAGTTGGACAAAGGTGTGCTTTTAAAGCCTTCAGATAACCGTGGATGTTCTGTGATGCTGCACCAAAAGTCCACAAGGGCTAGTTTCTTAAATTGTAACAGAATTTTAAATCCCGTCCGTGAATTTGTACTCTGTTAATACATTGATCTATCTATCTTGCACACTGAATGGATCTTTTACGTGTATGTGATTTTATAATAATATGCACTGATCAGTTGGAAAGTACTAGTTCACATTTCCTTATACAGTATCAAAATCTCACTTTTGTTAGTGATACTAACAAAAAAAAAGACCAGCAGTCTTAACCAGAAAAGTGTTTTAGGTATTGAGAAGCTATCAAGCTCACAGTAGCTGAAGCTCCCATTGAAAGGTACAAGTTTTCCAAAATCCTGATTTTTTTTAGCTTGATAGCCTGAATTTTATCATTGGCAACAAATACTTTAGTTATTTCCTTGAAGTTTCAGGCTGACTTTAATTTAAAAAAATTTTAAAAATTTTTATTTTAAAGTAAACTCTATGCCCAACATGAGACTTGAGTTCACGACCCTGCGATCAAGAGTCACGCGCTCTACCGACTGAGTCAGCCAGGCGCCCCTCATTTTGTTCATTTTTTTTTTTTAATTTTTGTTTCAACGTCTTTTATTTATTTTTGGGACAGAGAGAGACAGAGCATGAACGGGGGAGGGGTAGAGAGAGAGGGAGACACAGAATCGGAAACAGGCTCCAGGCTCTGAGCCATCAGCCCAGAGCCTGGCGCGGGGCTTGAACTCACGGACCACGAGATCGTGACCTGGCTGAAGTCGGATGCTTAACCGACTGCGCCACCCAGGCCCCCTCATTTTGTTCATTTTTAAGAGAATGACTATCAGTTGCGCTTTCAAATAAAGATGGTGCTCTATGAAAAAAGCGGCTTGTTCGGCTCACAACTAAGTCGCAAGTGCTTTTCCTTAACTATCTTCCAGTGTGCGGAAGTGTTTCATATATACTTTCTGCTTATTCAGAATATTAGAAGGGTCAAGGCTTAATAACTGTTAAATTTGCCTGCTTTACCAAAGATGTTCTTAAGTACAGCAGAATTTTTTTTCAACTGCAAGTGGCAGTGAAGACTAGAATGACTAGGTACAGTTGGGTACCACTGCCTTGATTCATGTTCAGAACCCAGCAGTTTTACTCCCTTTTATTTTTTTATACAATCACTGCAGATGTCAAAAGTGTATGAGCGAGTAATGTCTTTAATATTTCCCTCGGTTCTGACTTCCTGGGTCTCTGAAAAGGGGAACCCTAGAGACCTGTAGACCACACTTGGAGAACCACTGTTTAAATGAGCGCAATGTATTAATGTGGTGAACTTTTAAACAAAAAGACTTTGAAAATTAAGAAGAAGGTTACATTTTTAACTCAAACTATTTAAGAGAGACAAGAAGAAATACGTGATAAGAATGTGTAATATAGAGAACTACAGAGAGGGAAAAAACAGGGAAAACCATGAATTTCATATTCACATTTATTAAAATTCTGAAGACTTTATTGCCCACCACTATGGCTTTATGAAATGTTTTTCTGTGTTCCAGTGTGTGGTTAGAGAAGTGAAAATACATTGGCTTCAGTAGCGTTGCCGGCTAGGGAAAGTCAGTGTTAAAGGCAACTCTGGCTTGGGCTGGTCATTGTAGGAAAGATTTCACAGAACTTGATGTGTTGAGTAAAAAGAGGTCAGGAAACCCTCTTAAGGCCAGAATACAAAAGAGTTTATAAAACTGTTTGCTTTGTTGAAGGTTAAGCTTCTTCCACTCCCCTCTCTACTCCCAGCAGATATATTACTAAGATATTAATTCCTGAATTAATTTTTTAAATGCATTCTTATTTTATAGAGATGCAAATAGATCCTTGGATATTTTTGATGAGAGATCACATCCACTCACAGTAAGTGTCAGTTTTATTCAAGTTGTATTTTTCTCTCATGCAGTTGTGTTTATTTCCTGCTGATTTGATTTGATATTAATTGCTAAAAGAAAATTACTCGCTCCAGCTTGAAGTCAGACTCATCTTTAGTCTTCTTCCCTACCCCATGTTGTGTCATCATTTTCCAAAAGGAATGTTGTAGAAGGGATATGAAAGAGTAAGAACGGATTTGCTGCTTTGTCTAATTAGTGAGCCAAAGTGAGTAAACGTACCCAAATAACAGAAAATAGACCTTTTTAAAAGCTAATCTTCGGTAACATCAGACTGTATATATTTATAAATAAACCTAATGAGTATGTTATGATCTCTGTGAAGAAAATTAGAAGACTACTTAAATTTTAAATCACTTAAAATAACAGTTTTAAAAGTCACTTTCTCAGGTGCTCTACGGCCACAGGTGGCTGGTGACTGTTGCATAGGTCAGCACACACTTAGTGCCTTGTGGTTACAGACTGAAAATGGTGTTTCAAAGTTGACTACAGAGAAGTATGACTTGTCTGAACAATCAGACTCTTGAGCCTGGTTTGCATTTGGTTAGATTGCTGTGGGGGGAAATTAGGAAGGAACACATAACAGATTTTCTGAGGTCGTGCCTGTATTTTTCTTTAATGAATGGTGGTGAGTATTGAAGCACTGTGGTATTTTAAGATCCCATTGTTTATATTCAAAAGACTGAAAGACATGTCACGCAATCAAAGTTACTCTAAGGGGCACATGGGCACAAGTAAAGACTGCTATATTACGGGCACTTAGGTATTTTTCTTTGACAGATATTTACACTGCATTTTCTTCTTCTTTCAGCGAGAAAAAGTTCCAGAGGAGTACTTTAAGCATGATCCTGAACACAAATTTATTTACAGATTTGTTCGTACTCTTTTCAGTGCTGCACAGCTAACAGCCGAATGTGCAATAGTAACTTTGGTAAGCTATTTCTTCTTTCCTAAAGCATCTTTAGAAATTTCTATCTTGCGCACAGGGTATGGTCCTGGTTTTCACATAAAAGTAGGTTCCTGAAATGATCATCAGAAATTTATTAGGAGAAACCTATTGAAAGTCACATACACACATTCGAGTTTAATATAATTTGAGTTTGAGAATAATCATTATTCTTTAAAATGTTGCCATTGCTTTTCTCATCACAAAACAATTGCTATTAAAGGCAGCAGGAGCGATTTCTGGTTTCTCCCTCCATACCTCAGGACACAGATGCACACACAGCGCACACATGTTCACACACAGAGGGTGTGCTGGTGGGCGTGGGTAGGATGGGGGCAGTCACAAAACCATCTGGCCCGCAGGCAGGCACTCATTCAGTGTAGGTCTCAGCTGAGTCCCAGATTATTTCAGTATTCCCCAGACAGTTCTGACGTGGGTCCTGATCGAGAACTATCGCCTTCAGTTCTCTGTTCCTTGGACGATGGGTGTTAATCCATCCCTGGTGTCCTCTCGTGCCTGCCTGTGAAGTTGCCCAGGGTTATAGTGCCAGAAGGACTCAGAAAGGCTTTGTTAGTCAGCCTGCTAAGCTACAGCTGTGTAAGGGACCTTTGTGTTCTTCATACAGATTCCTGTGATAAGATTTTATCATTTGAAAAATAAACTCTATTTAAGTGAGAGGTGGTTGGGATTATTTTTACTCCTCCCTACAGCAGACCTATAGTAGAGGCTTACCCGCATAGTCTGTAGGGAAAGAATACTTAGGTCAATGCCTGCACTCCCTTCCTATCCAGTTAGAATTCAGGAGAGGAGGCTTATGCTTTTGAAGAGAGACCCCTCTGTGGGCATTCAATCAGACAGGCCTTTTCAGTGAACTATAAACCATTTGGAGTGCTTAGCCCATGCTGGAGAGGGGCAGCAGTGGTACTTGCCTCTGAAGAGCCAGGTGATGCAGGAAGGAGAATATCTGGAATGGAAGAAGGGGAATTCTGTGTTAGGTTAAGTGTGACATTACCGTGAGACAGCAGAGTGATCTTGTCTGGTCATCACTGGAATAGATGGAATCAAGCATAAACCTGAGCTCTAGAGGTAGGGAATTAAGAGTAGTAGAGAAAAGTATAGACTAAAAAGTGGATAGAAGCTAGACCTGGAAGGACTAACAACATATGAGGGACAGGTCCTCAGAGGAGCGGCTAGAGTGATAGGAGAGAGAATAATAGTGGTAGGACCAGGAGAGAATAATAAAAGAGATGCCAAGATGAGAGGTTCAGTTCAAGGAGAGCGTGGTCCAGATGCCAAATGCTGCCAATCAGTTGCTCATTCCATACCCACTGGATACCTCATCACTATTCCCAGTGTTGGAGGTAGAGGAGACAACAGGTTGAATAAAGGTCTTGCCTTTTATATGGCTTATATTCCAGTGAGGAAGAGAGAAGTGTGTGTGTTTTTTTCAAGTGAGCGTTAACCTAAACATTTCAGGCAGTGGTAAATACCAAGAGAAAGCAGGGTACAGTGATTGGAGGGGTTGCCATATTAGACTGCTCGGAACAGCCTCTTTAAAGAAGTAGCACTTGAACCGTGACCAAACTAAACTGGGGAAGATGATGAGCAAGACTCTGAGATGGGAACACATCTTGCGTGTTCAGGGAACAGCAAGTGTCCACTGGTCAGAGTGAGGAGTGAGGGGAAGAACATGGGAGATGAGGTCACAGAAGGGCAGTGCCGTATCTCATGGGGTCTTAAGGCTTACAGGCTGTGGGAAGAAGGTAAATTGTTATTTGTTTGGTGGGAAGCCTTTAGCAGATCTTCCCCCAGGGGTATGAAGTGCTCTGAATTTAAGAGGCTGTCCTGGCTGCTCTGGGGAGAATAGACTGTAGCGATAGTCAGCGTGGAGGCAGAGAGGTCAGGAGGCTGTGACAGTGATACAGCTGAGGAGTGACAAATAGAATAGAAATCAGCCAGATTACCAATGAGGGTAGAGATAACAAAAATTGCCAATGGATTGGAGCAGGATTAACTTAAGGGAGGTTTGGGCCCCAGCAAGTAGGTGAATGGCAGTACCCTTTGGGTTACTGGGCAAGGCTGAGGGAGTAGACAGTTGGGGTGAAGAGCTCTGGTTTCTATGTGTGAAAGCACCAGTAACCTCCTGAGTGACAGGGGCAGGGCGGCATACTGCCCAGGGTTAAGACAATGGGAGATGAGAAGCCAGCAGGGGGCATTTTCCCATGAGCAAAACTGAAGGAAGCTTTGTGCTGGGGGGCGGGGAAGGGCAGGTTAGGCTGGGGGCAATGTAAATACATTCACATTGGGGGAAATCTCTGGCAAAGAGGGAAACATTCTTCAAGAAGAGGGAATTGTGAGATGGGATCACGGAAAAAAGAGTTCACTTGAGTGAGAAGAAACCTCCCTTCCACTGACACTGTAGAGCCGGGGGCATGAATGATTGGGCAGGTTCCAAGTTTGCCAGGGAAGGTGATAGGAAATCAAGACATTGCCAGTGTCCTACACATGCCTCTCATTATTCCTGTAAAGTAGAGAGTGAACCTTGTTGTAAGCAAGGGTCGTTCTTAGGACACCTGAGAATGCTGGGTTTTGGGGGTCGGGAGCAGGATTTCACTAAGAACATGTAGTGTTCAAGAACCACTTGTTTTTGAAAACACAGTTGAGTTTGGACAATATTGCAAATCTGAGCTGGCAGTCTGACAACCTTCAGACAGTAAACAGAACTCTAAAATTGGACTTTTCTTCTTGTCAGATGGCACCCTTCTTCTTCAGAGCACCCTTTGAAGTAACAAATCCTAGCTTAGCTCTGTAATCTCTACTCAGCTGCTCACTCCACCCCGGTCTTTGCAGACTGGGCATTTGATACACAGTAAAAGAAATCATGAAATCACCTCATAGGCGGCTTTAGAGACGCCCCAGTGATCTAGAACCTGGCAGCTGTGAGCCCTTTAAAACCAACAGAATTGAGTACGCTGTAGGTTGTGTAAGACAGGGTGAATTATCACAAAGGGATAATAGGGATGTGAAGGAGAGGGGCCAGGAGGACTGTCCTTTGTATGTGCCTATGTTCCCGTAACAGACACTAAATAGGGGATTACTCGACAGTTGGAAAGACTGGCCCAGGCACACCTGTTGCTACTTCCTGTCCTGCTGTGCCACGCAGCAGCCACTGGGAGGCTCTCTTGACCACCAGTTTTTATCTCCAGGCTCATGCCGCCAAAGGACTGCTTGTGAAAAGGGGAAGGCAAACATGTGCTCAGTATCACCAGGGTTTTACATATTCAAGTATTTGTACATTACCATGTAAGCACCAGCCAGCTTTGGTACACAGCACATGGTAGGCCATCAGGTTTATTGAACGGCTTGAATCTACAATCGGTTGTACTGAATCTTTTCCCTTTATGAATGGGAAGGTTAATAGCCCAGTGCCTGTCTTCAGGATGCCCTTTGCTGAGGCGTCCAGTCATTCCTGTGACCAAAACTGGGCTGGAAATCCGCAAGGGCAGAGTAGGCAACAAGTATCCGATCTACAACTGTGACCTGGCCTCTGGCTTTGGCTGGCGGAGCAAAGTCTTTGTAGAACCTAAGACTAAAAGGCATGTCAAAAACAGATGAAATCTGTCATTCCTAACAGTTCTTATCACAGCACTTAAACTGAACTAAAATGAAAGACCAGTGCTCTACTTTTGCAGGTTTACTTAGAAAGGCTTTTAACTTATGCTGAGATCGACATTTGTCCCACTAACTGGAAAAGAATTGTTTTGGGAGCCATTCTTCTTGCCTCCAAGGTTTGGGACGATCAGGCTGTATGGAATGTGGACTACTGCCAGATCCTCAAGGACATTACAGTTGAGGACATGTGAGTTTGTAAGGTTTTGGTGAACTTTCTAACCATTTTTCAGTGCCTCCTTTGCTCCGGTAAAGTTTACATTTTAAGAATATTTTTAAAGGTTACGTTGTGCAGACAACTGCAATAGGCATTAAAATTACATACTATCCGGCTATGGTATAACAATTCATATTTCCCCATCATTAATTGATAGGTCTTGATGTGTTACTTGTAATAATCTCCTTGGTAAATTGAAGTGTATTTTTCTGGTGGTTTTTGGCATACATTTTACAGGCTTACTGTCAACACAGTACAATACATATCTTCATGGCTTTCTTCAACCTGCCTACGCGTCCCAGCCCATCTTTAAGAGGCATATGTCTGGCCTTTGAGATAAATGTTTGGCCACTGTTAAGGCCTTAGGGCCTCTAGACTATAGAGAGGTTATACCTCACCCTGACTCAGCTTTTGCTGGTCTTTCCTTTTTATCTCAAGTTCTGTTGTTACAGAAACCATGGTACAAAAGTAGCCACATGTATGAAGGTTTCAGATCCCTCTTCTTCTGCCTCCTCCCCTCCTAGGTGTATTGCTCCTGTTTAAAAATAGCTCTGAGAAGTTAGGGAGCTCCTGTTTCTCTGGCATCCCTGGGACATCACCCGCTGCCCATCCCATTGAAGAGTCTCCGGGGCACTCGGCAACCACAGTAGTGCCTCGTGGGGCTTTCGATTAATCCTGAGGGTGCCCCCCACAGATGACATGTGAACATGGGAGTGAAGCGCCAAACTCAACGAGGGCTTTCGATTTGGCCACCCTGGCTTTTGTGAAGGGCCCCGAGGATGGTAGGCAGAATGAGCCAGAGAGGGATTCGCAGTAGACTCTCAGAGTGCCCCCCTGAGAGTGAACATGTCTTTGTGGGTGGCATTGGAGAAGATGTGGAAGAACATGTCTTGATTATACAGAACAGCATAGGAAGATTAAGATCTTGGCAGGCAGTGGCAAGTTTGTTTTTGTTACCTTTCCCTGTTGTTCTAGATAAGATCGTCATTCAGAATTACCAAAGTGCATATTTACAGCTGAAGTGAGGGTACTTCTGACTAGGAGAAGGGACCAGTCACTGTCGGTAGCAGTCAGAATGGCTTTTGAGAACAGCGTGGACGGAGTGGGTGTGGACATACTGCTTGCGGCCCCAGTAGAAAATGGTGTAATGGCAAATAATGGATTTGAAATGAATAAAAGTGGTTTGGGAAATTGCAGAAGCTAAAGAGACTTTGATCACCACTGTTGTCAGTCTTCAAGCTCTGGTCCCTTAAAGGAAGAAAAACGTGTAGTCCTGAACACTAGCCCTGCCGTGGCGGCAGCTGAGAACCCGTGTTGAAGCTGGCTGGGCCTCTGATTCCAATGAGAACATCAGAGCCCGCTGGGAAGTGTGGAAGCTCGTAAGAGCGAGTTCCAGGAGCAGTGGTGGCAGTGTCTAGCCACAGGAAGACTCGTTGTAAACAAGTTTTTTACACGATCAGAGAAGCACCAGGAGCCATGTTTATAATAGGTTGTTTTGTTTACGGTCTTTGGAAACTGGAAAGTATCACAACGAAGTGTTTAATACACATTTGTGTTGTCCCCCTGCTGTTGCCTTCAATGTGTAATGGTCTCATTTTGAGTCTCAATTGAAAAATCGCTATCCACTTTTTCTTCGCACTTTCTAGCATCCACGCTTTAGAATATATTCCCTTCAAAAGAGTAAGTTAAACTGAGCAGCTGCTCTTCAGAAAATTTGCTGTGCCCGTAAATGGTGTGCTATTCAGCCATCTAGCTATTTAAAACACAACCCAGAAGACGCATATCCTATAGGCATAATGCTTTTCTTCGGTGATTAAACCTTGATTATAGACATGTTAATCCTATGAAGTACTGTATTTCTACACAATTAAAATGTATTAGTGGAGGAAATATAAAAGGGATAGTGAAGTGCATTTATTCCTGTGGTAAATTAAGTCCTGATTAGCTCATTATCAAAACATTATCTGATTTACATTTCTATAGACTTGCAGCCATATGAACAGGAAATTAAATTTGGAAGTAGGTTCGATTGGGTTTAAAATTCAACAAACGAGCACCTCATCTCTTCTGTTCATATTCTGAATGTTCTCCATACAGGAGAGCATCAGGCATTTGTTGATCTGTCCAGTGGATTAAAATATTAAAACCGAGAAACCAAATAGGTTATAAAATTAGCCTCTTGCGTTTTTTCAGGTATTTGCCATTTTTATGTATTTCCCTAAAAGGATTACTGTGAACGTGGTAAATTTTTAATTTATTAAATATTTGGCAAGGAAGCTGTAAAGTCACGTGTAGCAGAGGACTGCTTCCAACAGTTTCCTTTCCTGTTTTATTGAACTCGCCCCAGGCGGCTGTGTTCACACTCTGTTCTGACAGGGGGTGGTGACACATCTTGGGGTTGCATTCCCAACATGAGACATGCTGTTGGAGTCCAGTACTCTATCAGAGGCCCTATCGTAAAGTGAGTTGTCTAGCCATGACATCTCTTTGATCGTTCTGCCTGTCAGAGTTTAAAAAGTACATCCTGTCCTGTCATAGTGACAATCTCTTGCCCTAGTAAGACTAAGGTGAACAGAAACTTACATTTATGAATGCCCTTTGGTATAGTCCCATGCACTGGGGGAGGGGATTCCCTTTTCCATCGAATGTAGCTTATTTATTTATTTATTTATTTGAGATGAATCCTTGTTGCTTCAAGAGTTTTTCCCCCTCAGAGATAATAGCAGTGGCTCTCGATGGATCCATTTGTTGCCGTGGTGATGTGCCCACTCCTTTTGTTGGCGCGTCTCTACTTCAATAAGCCCCTTCCTGTTATCGGCCTGGTGAAAATGTCTGCAAGTTCTTCAGAGCTAATAAACAGCACACATCACTCCTTTCATCTGATCACTATAGTGGGGCCTTGTGAGTGAGCGTGGAGCATGAATCGTACAGCTGCACTAATGGAACTCTGAAGAATGAGCCCCTGAGTCAGCAGCAGGAGTGCATAAGAGGGCCATAACCTCTTCCCCCTTGTCCCAAACTCAAAGTGCTGGGATGCAGAAAGGACCACAAATAGCTGTACCTTGTTAGAGCATTAGTGTATTAATCCAGCCAGGGAGCCTTTTTTTGTTTCAAAACAGAATTTAGAGCTCTCCTAGTAGCTCAGAATGATAGTTTTGAAGATAGCCCAGTTGACTAAAATTGTCCTGTGTTGGTTTTGTCTCTTCCCCCAGGAATGAGATGGAAAGGCATTTTTTGGAGCTACTTCAGTTTAATATCAATGTTCCTGCCAGTGTTTATGCCAAATACTACTTTGACCTTCGCTCCTTAGCAGATGACAACAATTTGAATTTTCTGTTTGCTCCTCTTAGCAAAGAAAGAGCACAGAACCTAGAGGTAAGGCTGTGAAGTCATCAGTCAGGCTTTTCTGTCAGCCACCAAAAAACCCACGTCTGTGGCTAAATCTCATTCAGCAGTGATTCACAAAACGGAAAGCTTTTCAATAAACACATCAAAGAGCTTATTAACCCTTTGGCAGCATTTTTCCGGTGTCTTTTATGATTTATATAAAGACCTCACATCATTTTAAAGAAGTATATAGGTATCTCTTCTGTGACCATAATTCAGAATATCTTAAATCAGATTTAACCTGTTCTTAATGGTTTTCCACTTGATCCATTTGAACCTCTACCCTTCCATATAACCATTCGTGAATAATGTATGGTTGTATCCCTAATCATGTCTACATACATAATCGACTCACTGCTCTTAACTGTCTTTTACTCGGTTTGCAAATTCATGCTGGTGTTTTCTATAGATAGCACAGTTCAATCCCATGAGTTTATTAAGCATAGCATTAGTGGCTCACCTGAGAGACCTGTACTTAGACTGTATATCGCGTGTTTCCAGTACTGGTGTAGGGCTTTTAATGGAAACGGTAACATACCGGAGACAAAGTAGCACGTATGCCTTATGACTGTTGGTGAGCGTACAGCAGTAGTAGTCACAACTGAAATTTCAAACACATTTACAATGGACACTTTGGGGGGTACCTTGGGTGGCACTTTGCAATCAGATATTTTCTGCCCTGGTTGATATGCAAGTGAAACAGCCCTCTTCGGCACTTCAGGCGTTAGACCTCCTACCTTCCAATCAAGTCCAGCATGTGTCTGCCCTGGGAGAATTTGCTGAGAGTATGTGATAATCACTGCAGACTGGAAAGACGTTGACTAGCTGAGAAAATGCTGATTTTTGCCCAGGTCCATGTTCATTATGTTGAAGGAGCAAGTGTGGTGCTGTTAGGAGCCTGTCACAATACGTTTCACATCTTTGGAACCCAGTTTTTAAATTCTTCTTTGCCCCGAGGATCAATCATAGCCTCTTAAGGATTTTACCTTAGTGAATTGACAGGAAGGAGCATCCCCAGAATCTGGGAGCATAGACCCCAGCTCTCCAAGGTAGCAGTAACTGTGAAGTATCTGAAGGAGTGTGGCTGTGTGGCTTACCAATGATGCTTTTTTTTTTTTAAGGTTTTTTGTTTTTAAATTGTTCTTGTGTTCTGTTTGACTTTCCAGGCCATTTCCAGATTGTGTGAAGACAAATACAAAGACTTGTGCAGAGCTGCTATGAGAAGGTCTTTCAGCGCTGATAATTTCATTGGTATTCAGCGCTCTAATGCCATCCTCTCTTAAGGGAGGAAGGAGGGGTTGTAACATCACGAACCCCTCACCTACAAGGACTGGAGAAATACCACCTCTCCTGCTCAAAAACCAGCAAAGTTAGTATTTTCATCTAAAAGAAGGTCAAGAGACTCGTGGACCGCAAGGATTATGCTCATAGGAAAGAATGGAACTTGTCAATGCAACACACTCATTTGTCCTTTTTAATGTAAACAGAGTTACAAAAACCACTCCAAAGCAAAAGCTCCAACCCACACACAGATATTTGCTTACTATGTAGGCTTATAGCTGTGTGAGCTAAGTGAGGTTTTAAAATTTTTAGACACGACACTAACTACATAACTTTTATGTTTTTCTATTTTTCTTGCCCCTCCCTCACACTGCTGCATATTTCTTTAGAATCAATGCAGTATTACCATTAAAACATGGGACTCCTAACAACTCATAAAGCCACTTAGGAACAGACTGTAGCGTTGTGAGGTATCGAAGGGTTCTTCCCCCCTACTTTCCCATTGAAGCTGCTGGTCGTTATTGGCAATCAGTTTAAACCAAAAAGCTGCCGAATAACACCTGTCGTTCAAATTCTTTGCAAGCACTACTTATTAGCATTATTAGTATGTTTGGGATCATAAACAAGAGAAAGTACGTTATCGATTATCTACTTCTATTGGGTCCACGCTGCATTTCTTGTGAACTATAATGGTGCTTCTCATTTTCTGACGATTGTCCTCTTTGTTAAATGCGTGTATTAAAATATATTTTCATAATTCCAACCAACATGGTGGTCCAGTGGTAACAAGCAGGTAGTGAAATAGAAGGTGTCCTGAAAATCTTATTGCAACTTTCAGCTTAAATATGGTGTGCTTGGGCCCTCCAGGGCCCTGCTGAAGTATAAATGCCACAGACTTACAAAATATCACTTGAAAGTTTAATTACATTTCTAGTAAACTTCTGTAGTTTTGTAAATTTTATTTTTTTAAAAAAAATTTGTTTTTCAAAGTTTTTGTTTATTTTTGGGACAGAGAGAGACAGAGCATGAACAGGGGAGGGGCAGAGAGAGAGGGAGACACAGAATCGGAAACAGCCTCCAGGCTCCGAGCCATCAGCCCAGAGCCTGACGCGGGGCTCAAACTCCCGGACCGCGAGATCGTGACCTGGCTGAAGTCGGACGCTTAACTGACTGTGCCACCCAGGCGCCCCAAGTTTTGTAAATTTTAAATATTAAGCTTTTAATTTTAATTTTTTGTTTCAGCCCCTCTTGAAGATGGCAAACATTGGCTGAAGCAAAAAATTAAAATTAGAAGTTTAATATTTAAAATTTAGGGGCGCCTGGGTGGCGCAGTCGGTTAAGCGTCCGACTTCAGCCAGGTCACGATCTCGCGGTCCGGGAGTTCGAGCCCCGCGTCGGGCTCTGGGCTGATGGCTCAGAGCCTGGAGCCTGTTTCCCATTCTGTGTCTCCCTCTCTCTCTCTGCCCCTCCCCCGTTCATGCCCTCTCTCTGTCCCAAAAATAAATAAACGTTGAAAAAAAAAATTTATAAAATTTACAAAACTAGTTAAGTTTACAAGAAATACCTAAACTTTTAAATGATGTTTTGTCAGTTTGTAGCATTTATACTTCCACAGGTATCAAAGCTTAAAGTTGCACTAAGACTTTAAAGATACCTTGTACCTTCATAGACATGCCCTCCCCTTTGAAAGTAGTCCTTTGCAGGGCTGTGCCGTTTACCTGCTTTGATCACCTGAGTTGCTTTTTTCTAGATTTGGTAAGGATTATGAAGAGCAATGGTAATTCACATGTAATAAACTGAAAGGAATTGGACTCTAATAGTAGTGATATGAAAGTAGGGGATAGGAAACCCCTTTTCTATCCTATGTGTTAACCTGGCTGGAGATGTCTCGTTTCAAGTCCTGCTATTTAAGAGGAACCCTCACCTCAGGCTTTAAAGGGCAGGGAGTTAAGAAATCAATCTTCTAGGACATTGGTAATGATGTCACCTAAACTTGAAATGTTAAAAAAAAAAAAAGGAAAAAAAAAAAAAAAGATTCGTGTTCTTAACCACGTGAGATCTTTCTCCTACCTTCTCAAATGTAATCCTAGGAATTTTGCCTGTAAACACAGCATTTCTGGGCCAGGAACACTTTCTCTCAGTATAGCAAGGCTTCATATTCTATTGAGTGCTGCAGGTTCCATCATTTTTAAAGGACAGAGACATAAGTGATAAATAACAGTATATAAAATATTACAATCTACCACCTCAAAAAAATGTTTTGTGGAGTTCGGAGCTTGGAGATTCAAGTATTGATTACAGTCTTATTTTGAAAAGAATGCTACAACGTATGTGGTTTTTCTTCCTCATGTTTATATTAAAAGAAAAGCTAATAAACTCTATTTTAATTAAAATATGGCTAGTGTGTAACATTCAGTTTACATAGTATTCTAACTGAAATGCTTTCAGTCAGCTCTAATAGTAGGGTCTTAAAGCATTTTCAAACTGACCATTCGTGATGGGTTTGATCCTTGCCTCTGGTTCCAATGTAGTCATGTATTTCTTTGGCTTCTGCCCTTTTGGACCTGCAGGTAGTTTGGTACATTTAAAACCGCTGGCCATTGTGCTCGGAGGCACAGTGCAGTAGATGGCATCTTTCAACGGTTCATTATTGTGCCAAGAGGGAAAAAAAGCACACTGAGAGATTCGGTAGAATATACCAGAGAGAAAGGAATTACAGGAATACTGTAGAATCGGAATGTGAGCTATATGAGGATCTCCAGCAGTTTTGAAAACCTGGAGGCTGGTTGGAAAGGGGAGCCTGGGTGCCTCAGTTGGTCGAGTGTCCTACTCGTGGTTTCAGCTCCGGTCACAATCTCACAGTTCATGAGATTGAGCCCCCTGTCAGGCTCTGTACTATCAGCAGAATCTTGGGATTCTCTCTCTCCCTTTCTCTCTGTCCCTCCCCCACTCACGTGCTCTTTCTCTCAAAAACTTCAAAAAACCAAAGAAAATGGAAGCACAGGAACATTGCTATAAAAAGAAGAACCACCCACATATTTTGACTTCAATATGCTATCTTCAAACTTAACATTTCAGTGAGAAATATGCCAAATCTCCATAAGGTGTCTGTAAAACTAAGACCCTGCGGCACCTGGGTGGCTCAGTCGGTTAAGCCTCCAACTTCGGCTTAGGTCATGATCTCACGGTTTGAGTTCGAGCCCCGCGTGGGGCTCTGTGCTGACAGCTCAGAGCCTGGAGCCTGCTTCGGATTCTGTGTCTCCCCCTCTCTCTGCCCCATGCTCATGCTCTGTCTCTCAATTAAAAAAAAAAAAACAAAAAAAAAAAAAACTAAGACCCTGTCCACTCGAGCAATGCTCAGTAAACTGAGAGCCTGGCCGTATTCTCTTCCACCTTCATTCATTACCGAAGGTCACATCATCAGCTAATCACTTTGTTCTTGAGAAACTGCTGGTGAGGATAAATGATCTGATTTCATTTAAAAGTGAATTCTGTCTCAAAACACTGTTAAGACTGTCTCCCCTTTACTATGCCAGCCACTAAGCAGAAATGCTGACACAAGGGGTCAGATGTTAAAGTCTGGCGGGGGGAGGAACACTGTAAGACTAGCTTCAAGAACAAGCTGGTAGCAGAACCACAAATTACTCTTTCCCCTTTGGTTTTAATTCCAGGTGGCAATATAGCCATTGTGATAAAGGAGAAGTCAAGTCAACTTAGGGTAAAGATAATAAACATCACTGAAAGCTGGTAAGGTTCTCTGACAAATGTTGCAGGGTCTGGAAACCAGTTGCTAATGGGGTAGTACCTATGGCAGTTTTCTCAGGGTTTTATACCTGGGAAGGGTTATATCGAACCATCTCATCTCATTTATCTTCAATTTTAGTTTTTCTCAGTGAAATTTTAACTCTGATATATCCTTTACAAGGAAAAGACAAAGGTTTGAAATCTATGTTTGAACCAAATGAAACTGCCATATCTGGAGGTAAAAAGAAAAATGCTTGCCTATCAGCAGTTTCATATGATTCATTCTAAGATTCTTCGGGCCCAGTGCTTCTGGTTAAAGAGAAACTCTCCCTGCTGTATCGGATTCCATCACGACCTTTTCTTTGACATTTACGCTGAATGTGCCCCATATGCTCATACATTACTGAAATCCAACACCACTTAATCTTGGTTTTGTAACAGTGTGAGGTTCATCTCTTGGTTTAGTTTTCCTGTGTGTATAAATACTACTTGATTTAAAGGAAAAACATGCTGAAGCCAGTATTCACAGAAAAATAATTCCCTCTGTATTCAGGTTATACAATGTTTTTTGGAAAAGTTTAGCTACAGCATAGAAGTTAGCTAAATTGGTCTTTCATCACCGAAACTTCTCTCTAGTCACACGTAAAACGACTACAGCTGTTCCCTCAACGAGAGGCTGCATCCTGGAGTGTGGAGCTGCTTGGAAAAGCGCTCGGCAGCCGGCAGCCACTCCCAGGTAAGCGCTCGTTTCTATGCAGAATCTAGATTACACGCAGCATCTAGCAAGTTAAGGACCTGATTGCCTGAAGTCTTAGCCACGTACTGACCTGGTTGGCCAGACACTGTGCCGGCAAGAAAGCAGATCTGGGAACCCTTCGGCAAGGCCTGTTCCTGAGGTACACGGGTGCGGTCGGTTTGGTTTCTGAGGCAGTTTCCACTACCCTGTCTTTAATGGGTTTGGCACATGAGCCAACACGTACTTAATAGGGTACAAATTTTAAGAATATCTGTGGTTTAGCATTTATAGGGTGCAGAAAGAACTAAGTGAAATAGTACAGAAATGAGGAATCTCAAATCAAATGAAAGGTTAACGTTCTTTTAAGAGGCAACAGGTTAGGTGGTAATGATGGAAACTGCTGCGGAGGGAACCACGTCCTCTGAGGGGAGTAGAGAAATTCAGTGATTGCCTCCGGACCTAAAGTCCTCAGGAAGGTTTCCATAGCGTCTACTTCAAGACCGAAAGTCACTCTGCTAGCTTTTCCTTAAGACATCTATTCCTTCCTCCTCTTACCCTTCTCAGTTCTACTAAGCTTGTCTTCTGGCACCCAGACGGGGCCCCCCTGATCTCACTGTGGGGGGAGAGTCTTCCAAGGCAGAGCTTCAGTGTGTGCACCTCCCGCCACTGGTGAGGGTCCTCCCTCAACAAGACCATCTCCCCGCTCCACCTCTGCTAGTGCCCAGTGTGGTAGTGTGTGATGTCAGTTACCACTGTGACCTATTTCTAAAGCATTTTCATCAGGTTCCAGAAAATAAATACAGGACTGTGGGGCTCCCAGGCTGAACCGGCCCCTTGTAAGCTCCTACAGTCACCTACTGGAGCCCTCCCCGGGTTCCCCAAAGCAGCTCCCCACACACTGCCTTTGTTGACTCCCCTGACCTGCCCCTAACCCAAGATGGATCTCCTCACTCCAGGTAGCATCCCCACCTTCCAGGTCCAAGACTCATTTCAGCTGGCATTAGGAACGGGCCCCTCACTTCCTGACGTAACCCCTCTCGTCTCATGGAGGGGATTCCATTCCACCTTTTTAACACCAGCCGTCTACATCCCCCCCTTGTTCTTCAAAACTGCTTCGTCTTCCCAGTGTGAGGATGGGGCGATTACTCGGTCCTTTACTTGCCCTATTATTTCTCAGGATACAGTCCCCAGACCACCTACCTCTCATCAGCTGAAAGTGCCCATGAAAAACGAAGCTTCTCTAAATGCAATGTGGAATCCTGTATTGGATCCTGGAATAGATAAAGAACATTAGTGGAAAATCTGGTGAGATCCAAATGAAGTCTGGAGTTAATGGTAACATGCCAGCGTTGACTTCTTCGTTTTGACAGTGACCTTTGATGACATGTTAGCATTAGGGCACAATGATTAAGGGGTATACAGGAACTGGATTATCTTTGCAAATTTTCTATAAACATAAAGTAAGTCCAAAATAAACTTTTCTTAAAAAAAAAAAACAAAACAGCTTTATGGGCCCCAGACCTACTGAATCTCAATTCCTGGAGCTTAAGCCTGGGAATCTACATTTTTAGTAGGAAGTCCAGAAGATTCTATCCATTCACTTTCCGTTCCATGCCTAAACCGTTGCTTCTTCCTTGCTTTACCTTAACCTGATCTCATCCTTTAGCTCCCCTCAGCCCTAAGATCAGTGCTCTTCTGCCTCTTTCACAGATGAGAAAGCTGAAAAACTCAGAGATTAATATGTCCAGGGTCACACAACCCATAAATGGAGGAGCAGGAACTTGAATCCCTTGCTGTCTAGCTGCCAAGTCTTTAAAGACTTGGCATCCATTCTACTGCCTCTCAATCCCATTTCCATTGGTGACAAACTAAAAAGCTCTAAATACTAAAAGAATTATTATCGGGGCGCCTGGGTGGCTCAGTCAGTTAGGTGCCGGACTTCAGCTCAGGTCATGATCTCAAAGTTTGTGGGTTCGAGCCCCGTGTAGGGCTCTGTGCTGACGGATCAGAGCCTGGAACCTGCTTCGGATTCTGTGTGTGTGTGTGTGTGTGTGTGTGTGTGTGTGTGTGTGTGTGTCTGCCCTTCCCCCCTCTCACTTGCTCAAAAATAAACATTTAAAAAGAATTATTACCAATAATACTCTGGACCCCACCTTTTTCTCCAACCTGCTAAGTCCCTACAGTCCCTTTGCCCCGGCCTGTGGCTTTACTCCTACCCCCTTTTCCACTGGGGAGAAATGAGCAATGAGGAAGCCCTGGGAGGGTGTGCCACCGCCAGAGTCCTGCACATGGAAGGTGCAGCTCTGTTCTTCCGTCAGGATTCAGCTCAACAATGGGGTCTTCCATTCTGCTTCTCCCAACCGTCCTCACTTCTATATGAATCTGACAATGTTCACAGCACTCACTCTGACATTAAATTACATACGCTCATATCATTGTCCACCTCTTAGATTTGTCTTATCTCCCTCCAACAAAATGTGAAGACCCTAATTACCCGTCTTCGACATACTTACACCTCAGAGCGATGCTGGAGAACACGGACATCCCACGCATTAACAGGCGATGGTCCGTGGACTGGGGACTACTCTGCGTTTGGCCAACAGGCAGCCAGGAGAAAGGACTCTGACAATAGTATCTCAGGTTTATCAGGCAGCAGATGATAGGGAGGTGCCAACTCTAAATCAATTTCTAGCCTGTTCTCTGGGCTCCCTGACTTGTATTCAGGGCTTAATACCAAGTTGTGGATCTAACTGCTGAATGACAAACAGTTTTGAGAGTCCCGGCCCCCCCCCCCCCACCAGACACACAACAGGCATCACCTCTATTCAAAGAGGTTCAGTATCAAGTACAGATGGAGGGCTGATAAAATAGAAAACGATCTCAGGCAAGGTCGCTGGTCTTACGTGTATTTCCCTTCATTTCTTCAAGGGATTCATGAAACAATCAGGATCGGCAGGAGAAACCTGAGTACATTCAAGTAAAACATGTTTTCATTAGTTTTGCTGCTGGTGACTGGAATTGGCTTGATTTTCATACTAATAAAAGCATCGCCTCTTTAAGTACATCTGAGAAATCTGATTATGAAGTTAGAATCCACATATCTCCTCAAGCACTCTTAGAAAGCAGTGTGTGTCTTCATAAAAGCATGAGGAGAAAAAGACTTGTACAGCATCTTTTTTATTTTCTTTACCATTGTTTTAATGCACTTTAAAATTTATCTACATTAATTGGGAACAAAGAAACAAAAATAGACATTTCTTTGTTTTTCATAAATAACTACTCTCCATATTTGATAAAAATCTCAAACCATTACTTTACCTCCCCACAAATATAATACATACAAAATCTTTTCTGCAATGATAAGGTCAGCAAATTAAGCATCTTGAGACTAACATAACCACGTACAACTGCTGCTCTACGGACTTCCAGGAACAAAACCAAACCGAAAACTACCTATCGAGAATGTCTGGGTTTCCTTTTGTTAATGTTACGGAGTCAAAATTATAATCCTCTGCCAATAATAATTTATAGATTCAAGTTGATTGTCTACAAAGAAAATATCGCTGGCTCTGACTGGGGAATTCTGGGTCGGACGCGACGGCGAGGATGCTGCAGTGATAGGCACTATACACGGGTGAAAATAAAAAAAAAAGTACTGAATGCCCTGGACGCCACCTACTGACTCGGTATGTGCCTCATGTGGCTCAGTAATAAGTTCACCTGCACCAAACCCGTATCAAAGTCACTAAATCTCTCATATATATAATATATATTATATGTATATACACACCCACAACACATACATACTATACATACAGTTTGTAACAACACAAAGTAATATTGTCTCACAATGGTGTACCAGACAGTGTCCTGGCTGAAATGAATCCTGCAATTGTCAGTGAGCTGCTAGAAGCTTTTGAGAGTTGAGTCAGGTTACTTAGTCCCTCACATCCTGCCCACCCTTTGCCCTGCTTTAATGTCTTGGTAGCTTTTTTTTTTTTTCCTTCCCCTCAGAACCACCCTCCCCCCTCCAGGCATATTTTCCCCCCTGGGATCACTTGCTTGGACTTTGGAGGCAAGAAAGGGCACGCAGAGGGAGCAGGCAATTCTCAGCCACTGTACCTCACACCTGCCTAGATGTGTGACGTTCTCTGTCCTGTTTGCCACATTTGGTGTTAGAAAGCAGTTATTCAAAGCTTTGTCCCTCCTACCCCCCTTGGTCTTTCTGTAGAGCACAAAAGTGAAAGAAGCCCCTTTAGCAGGGGTAGCAGTTCATTAAAATATACAACTACGTTTCCTAGCTCTGGGGTTTCCATTCTGTACTTGAGAGTGCAGGTCACGGATGCTGTTATTAAGGTTCGGTGTGGGATCCATGAGGTTTTCTCCTGGCAGCCGGTGTCAGGATTAGTGCAGCCCTGGCCCAGGAGGAAACAGCCTAATGAATACCAACTTGGAAACAGTGCTGTCGGCACATTATTTAAGCCTGTACATGCACACAATTACACACACACACACACACACAGGCCCGTCATTGGAAACGGTCATGTGAAAAGATGACAAAGGTTTGCAAAGATAAACCAATAAGGCACCAAGAAAAATTATTCTCAGCCAATTTAGACAACATCAAAATGTAAGGAGGGAAATCATATAAATTAAAGAGACTTCCTAAAAGTCTGGCCAATGGATCTGCGGACGGGTCACATTAGTTCCTTTAGACAACTTTCTAAATCTTCACCCCCAACTCATGAAGCGAGACAATGCTTAAAACCGACCTGTGAAAGGGACAACCTGGAAGCTGTACATGTGACATTAAACTGAACCATAAATCCTTTCCAACTCCACAAAGCTATCTGTGAAGAAGTTGCTAGACCCCACCGCCCACAACCTTTCATTTTATAATTGTTTTCATGAGTATGAACTGTCTGCATAATAAAAATGCAAATCAGGGGGAAATAGCATGTGGGATGGAAAGAGAGGGTGGCCATAAATAGATCTGGCTTCTCTCCCCTGGGTGGGGGATGGGGTAGTTGACATTAGGAAGACTCTAGGGAAGCAGGTAGGCTTCATCTTTGAGGGATGGGAGAGGAAGAGCGGGGGCAAGAACACAGACTGAAAACAAAGAGGCATCTCTGAAAAGTGGTGTGCAACTAGACCCCAGAAGGCATTACTTATATTGCCCCTCCTTGGCTCACTGTCCTTTTTCAACTGCTTTTCTTTCTTTTCCTTCACAGTAAATTGGTTGTTTTTGTGAGGCTTGGCATGTTGCCCAAATGAAACACTAATTTTTTTAAAAAATGAAGAATTAACCCACTTTCATCCATTTCATCCCACAACTTTTAGATGCACTGTGCATCATTTTCTAGATTCCTCCACAAAGAAAAAAGTCAAGGGGTCAACCCAAATTAAGCACAATGACCGGAGGCGTCATGACCATCTGTGTACTTTCTGGGAAGACATACTAAAAGAGGGAAGAGGTCAAGGTGATCGGGAAAGGTCCGCATTTGAAAAACACAAGAATTGGCCCTCAGACAGGGGATCTATTCGAAGGTCCTAAGAAGCAGCTTCTGAGTAAGGACAAGAAGATGTGCAAAAAGTTCTGTAGCTCTATGTACTAGGTTTTGTCGAATCCGCTGAAATTTTAACTTTGATTCAGAGTATGAGTGTGTAAGAGCAGTGCGTTTTTATAAAAGCGAGCAGCTTTTGAGAGTCCCCAAAACTACAATACCAGGCTTCTCCCTGAAGCAAAGTGTTTAAGTTCGCTATGGGAACTGTGCATTTGTTTCCTTAATCTCCATGAAGCGAAAACTGGCCTGGGTTTAAATCTTACATTCCCAACTTTGGTATAAATAAAGCACAAATGCCTAGACTCGTCATTTTCCTAGGGAGTCAGTCTAAAATTTTAATTGTTTTTGTCACTTGAGCTTCCTAAATTCGGTCCCCACTCAACCCTGGTCATTGGTATTTTGCTGGTCATTGCACTGTCACCTCCTTCTCCAAGTCATGGCCTCACACTCTTCATGAAGGAACAGTTAAACAGATTAGAAAAGCAAACAGAATTCTTAAATAGTAAAGAAACCTGTGTGTGTGTGTGTGTGTGTGTGTGTGTGTGTGTGTGTGTGTTCGTATATAGGCTTTCATATATTAATGAATGGTTAAGCATGTCGGAAAGCAAACAGAATTCTCTAATAGCAAAGTGCATGTGTACGTGCATGTGGGTGCATGCAAGTGTGTGCTCGGCAAAAAGAAAAACATATTGAGGTGGGGGAGAGAGGACAGCTTTCCTCCTGCACCAGTCCCCTGAGCCATATTTTAAAAGCTTCTGCACGTGCATTATGGGTGTCATTTGTTTGGGGAGACTGCAGAGAGCAATGTTTGGCTGCTTTTGGAATATCTGCCTAATAAATGAGTCCAAAGTCCAGGGACACTTATTTTCCCTCATTGCTGCCAATGTTTGTTCACAGGTAGCCAGCCTCCCTGCCCCCAGCTCAAGCACCCCGTTCAAGGGTGGGTGGGGTTTCTTAATCACAGCTCTCCAGGAGAGGAGGACTAAGAAAAGCAAAAAGACTGTTTAACATGATAAAGGTGGGATGGGGTGGAGCAGATAAGAGAAGTGTTAGAAATTTACCTAATTACTGGAGGTATATCCATTTTAGTCCTTAAATCTAAAAAGCAGCTCCTTTAACAACCATCTCTAAGTACTTCCAGAAGAAGGGAGTGGGTTTACCTTTACCAAAATCAGAACACGAGTTCTTAAAAAAAAAAAAAAAAAAAAAAAATGGAATCACTGACGCCTGTTAACCACCCACTCCTTCTCTGGCACAAAGCTGCCATTTTACCAGTCTAGAATTCAAGCTCAACCAATCCCCATCCTCGAGATTTTCACTTTTCCAAATATTTATACCGGCACTCTATGATGCTACCTCTAACTTATTCAAGACCATGCTGGGTGCTGTTAGGAATAAGAATGATTACCAGAACTACAGAAAAGAAACCGAAGGTCGATAAATAAACAAAACTAGTATGGCACACAAAATCGTTAAACGCTGTCCTCTCTAACCTTGTCACTTTGGGGAGGCCCTAGCCCCATTATGCTTCCCCTCCTCGACATGAATTGGGGTTTCCTCTAACTTAGGGACTATAAACAGCGACCAGCAGCTCAGCCTTAAAGCGTCTGGGACACTTTAAGCAGTGAAAGAAAACAAGCTGAAAAATCACACCTGACAACCTCCCAGGCATTCATAGCAACCTAAACTTTCACTGTTCACATTTGTTTTAAAGACACAAGTATAGGAAATATATTTTCCCAATTTAGACCACACAGTTCAAAGAAACCTGAACTAAGCGGAACTTCATTATAATGCCAACCTTAGGATTGTAAAGCCCCCAAAGCAAAGGTAAATTTTGTTGCCAAAATGCAACAAAGTTAAAAATTAAGAAAACTACATATAAATTAACAACAGGCTTCCCCTAAAACAAAAACAAAAACAAAAACAAAAGGTAGTAAGAAACACAAAATAGAATACACGTGGGCTGAGCCCCTTCGAGAAGTCCTGGGACCGGGACGGCCTTTGAAAGGGCCAAAGGCCCCTTTCCCCTCTCTCCAAGTTGCCCCAGGAGGGGGCATCAGCACCATGAAGGTAAACGGAAGTGAACTTGGCAAAACTACCAAACAAAACAACCCCCCTCCCTCCACTCCCGGCCCCTCTGGGCCTCGGCGTCCTACACGTGCGACAGGGACACCTGCTTGTGGTAGGCGGCGGCGGCGGCGGTGGCGGCGGGGGGGCCCGGCGGCCCGGTCCTGCCCGTGAGCGAGGCGCTCGCCTCATAGTCCCCCGCGGCCGTGGCGCCGCCGCTCTTGTGGCCCCGCCGCGGGCGGCAGCAGCATCGGCTGGTGAAGCGCCGCCACGACTCCACAGTCTTGCCGGACCAAATCCAGACGCCCGACGTGATGCCCACCACGAGGCACATGAAGTACTTGAGCATGAGCACCCAGTACTCGGGCTTGGCGCGCGGCTGGCCGGCGTCGGGGCCCGGGCACGCGCAGGTGAGCGCGGCCTCCCAGCTCTCGCGATAGTGCTGCTCGTACAGGTAGCAGGCCACCACGATGCTGGCGGGCACGGTGTACAGGAGAGTGAAGATACCGATGCGGATCATGAGCTTCTCCAGCTTGTCCGTCTTGGTGCCGCCCTGCTTGATGACGCTTCGGATGCGGAAGAGCGACACGAACCCCGCCAGGAGGAAGAGGGTGCCCACCAGCAGGTAGAGCACCAGCGGGCCCAGCACGAAGCCGCGCAGCGAGTTCAGGTTCTGGTTGCCCACGTAGCAGATGCCGGCCACCGGGTCCCCATCCACGGAGCTCAGTGCCAGCGCCGTGATGGACTTGACGCTGGGGATGAGCCACGCGGCCAGGTGGAAGTACTGTGCATAGCCCGCGATGGCCTCGTTGCCCCACTTCATGCCAGCTGCCAAGAACCAGGTGAGCGACAGGATGACCCACCAGATGGAGCTGGCCATCCCAAAGAAGTAGACCAGCAGGAAGACGACAGTGCACAGCGCAGGGCCCGTCGTCTCGTAGTGAATGTGGCTGTGCTCGCGGCTGCAGGCGACGCTGGCGTGGCCCACCACCAGGCGCACCAGGAAGCCCAGCGACACGCACAAGTAGCAGGCAGACAGGAAGATGATGGGACGCTCCGGGTAGCGGAAGCGTTCCATGTCTATTAGGAAGGTGGCTACCGTGGTGGAGGTGGAGATGAAGCACAGCACAGACCACAGCCCAATCCAGAAGGTGGCGAACGTGCGCTCGTCGGGGCTGAAGGAGGGCTGGTAGCAGGGCACGGCGCAGTTGGGCACCTGGCCCGTGCGCACCTTGTTGTAGAGCGGGTGAGACTCCTTCAAGATGGGGACGAAGGGCTCGCGGCACTTGCACACCGACGGGCCCCCGGCGGCGCACTCGCCCCCTGAGGCCGGTGCGCCCGCGGGGCCCAGGAGGGTGGGTTTGGCCGGGAAGGGCCTGGGGGGCGCCGTGGTGGCCTCGCTGCGGTTGTAATCCATGCACAGGACCTCGGCGTCGCGGCCCAGCACCGGGAGGCGGTCGCAGCTCATGCGCTCCGGCCAGGCGAAGCCGTACTGGCGCATGAGCGGCGAGCAGCCGGCCTTGGCGCGCTCGCACACGGAGCGGCAGGGCGGCAGCGGCTTGTGGTAGTCGGGCAGGCAGATGGGCGTGTACATGGAGCACAGGAAGAAGCGCAGGTCCGGCGAGCAGTGGATCTCCACCAGCGGCCAGAACTGGTGCACCTCCAGGCCCGCCTCGTCCTGCGTGTCGTGGTTGAACTGGTTGGGCATGTGCGTCAGGTTGTAGCCGATGCCGCGGCACATGGGCACTGTGATTTCCTGGCACACTGGGGCCTTGGAGGCAGCCGCCGCCCGGCCCGCCAGCTGCGCCAGGAGCAGCAGCAGCAGGGAGGGCGGTGCGGACGGGTCAGGCCGAGCCATAGCCCCCTCCCTCCCCTCGCCGCGCCCGCCGCAGCCCGCGCGGGGCCCACGCAGCCGGGGGAAACCGGGCTGGCCTTTCCGCCGACTCGTGTGTGGCGCCGGGGCTGGCAACCTGTTGGTTTCTTTTTCTCTCAAATCCGTCCAAAGATAAACTGTTTCGGGAAGGCGCTGCCTCCGCAGGCAGCGCTCTGCTCTTCGCCAGATAGGGCTGGGGAGGGACGGTTAGGGCTCCGATTCCAGAAGAAGTACTCTTTAAAAAGGAAGCTGAGGGAGAAGAAAAATTGCAACCACTCCCAGTTAGAAGGGAGTCAACCGCTCAGTCCCCGCAAGCGCTCTCCAAATCTCCAAGTTAATGTCTCTTCCTTCCCTCCCCTCCACCTCCGGGAACCAAACTACTGACTCCCGGCCCACCCCCACGCCCCTCCTCCCTTAACGCTGGGCCTTCTAGGCTGTACCCCGGGGTCAGAAAGCTCAGCCGCCAGGAAAAGCGCGGAGGAACCGGGAAACGAACGGAAAGAAAGGGGTTAGGCGCGGGCTCTCACCTTCGCGGATCCTGAAAAGCAGATAGTCGTCAGCCAGCCTGGGTCTCCTGTTCCTGGGGCAGTCTCTCAGAAATGCGACTCAGAGACGGGCTGGCACCCGGAAAGTTTGGCGATAGGCTGGGTACCCGAGGCGAGGCACATGGCAGCAGGTGGGGGCTTCTCAGAGAGGGGGTCGCACCCTGAACGCGGTCGCCGCAGGCCGGTCACTCGCCCTCTCCTCCTCCGGGGCCCCCCGCATGATCCGAGCGGGGCAGAGCAGGAGCCGACCGTGCGTTCTGCCGGGGTCCGGGAGCCGGACGAAGGGCGAGCGCGCCTGGCAGCACCTGGGCGAGAGGAAGGCGGTGTGCGGCAGCCTGGGGATCCCGCCGCCTCACTGCACCGCGAGCAGCTGGCGCTGGCCCCGCCGGGACTGCATGGTGCTCGCCCGCCGCCGCGTCCCGCCGGCCGCTCGCCTCCTCCCCTGCAGGGGGCTCCGCGCTCCAGCGGACTCCTGGGGGCGGTGGCGGCGCTCCCGGGACGCGCCCGGCTCGGCTCCTCCCCCGCACTCTCTCACTCTTTTGCCCACCTCCAGCGGGCACCGAACGGCGCGCGCGGCGGCGACGACGGCGGAGTCACGGCCGCGGGCTGACTGGCCTCTCCCGCCCCGCCCGGGTCACCTGCCTCTAATGCCCGCCGGGAGGCCCCGCCCCTTCCCCGCCCCCTCGCGCCGGGGCTCGGTTGGTGGGCCGCCCCGCCACGTTCTCCGCGCGTCCCCGCCCACTGCCCCGCGGGCTCGGCCTCTCCCCCTGCGCCCTCCGGCCCCGCCCGGAGCCGGCCGCCGAAGAGCGCCGGCCAATAGCTGGCCGGAGAGCGATGGGGGCGGGGCGAATGCTGATCGCTCCTTCTAGAGACCCCCGGCGGGAAACCCTTGCCAGAAGTCCCTCCGGAGTTCGCTGCGGGCGCACAGCGGTCCCCGGCTCACTTTCCTGTAATAGGCTGGCTTATGAACCCTTGCTTCCAGGGCCCCTACCAGGTCTCTCTGCAGCTAAAAATCTTCACAGTCCAGCGCTTGTTTAAAAGAACCGCTCGAAGAATCATTCTTAACCGTGGCACCTGCCTCCGCTCTGCGCTGTCTTCCTACCAGGTGAGCTCACACTGAGAGAAGAGCGAAGGTGTATTGAGTCCCTACTGCGTGCCAGACAGCGCGTTAATCGTTTATACCTTAATACAAGATCTCAGATGTTTACAATCCTGTGAGACAGGTACTCCTTACAGGTGAAGGAACAAAGGTTGAGAAGCTTGACCAAGGCAACAGAGCTAATACTTCCCAAAGAAAGCCGCAACATAGGCAGCCTTCACCCCAGTATTCCGAGCGCCTGGCACATAGTAGGCGCTCAAATGCTAACTCAGGATTCGAACCCACGTATCTGCATCCCCGTTTTAACCACTGTCCCCACCCGTCTACTACCTGTATCTCCTAGTCTTCAACCTTTACTGTTGCACTTAACAAACTCTTATTGTCGCCATAAAGTGATTTTCTTCCTGTCTTTGGAAGACTGGAGAGATGTTAGTCCTCTATCTGTCGAAGTTTAAAAGCCCAAGCAGTTCCGAAATCGCCTGCGGAGAGAAGCCGCGCCAGCTCGCGGATCTGTTGCGGGTAGGGCGCCTGGCCCCCCGGGGCTTCGAGCTGTAAGAGCCGTGCACTGGCTCGCCTCTGGGGAGCGGGGGCGCTGGGAGCAGGCCCGGCAGGAGGGAGGACCAGCTGGGTGCCCCGACTGCTGGGACACACAGTGGCGCTCTCCAGATAGGTTATTATGCTGCAAGTTTTAAATGTCTTAAAAATGCCTCTTTTCTACGTGTTCTAATTAGGTTGGGAGACTGAGGTGTTTAGCATTCTTGAAATTCATTCACACGCTTACAAAAGGGTTTGCATTGTTTCCTGCTCCCCCCACCCCTTCCTTCTTCTGGGAAGAAGGCGCGGGGGGGGGGGGTGGCAGGAACAGGAGGGCCTGGGTACTTCAAGGAGTCAGGACTGGACTAAAGGGTTGAGACATATAGACTGCAGTTATCGTCGTTCTTCTGTCCTGGATCCCGTTTGTACAGACTGGGAGACTGGATTGCCCAAGAGCCGTCTCCCTCCGGCTCATCACCAAGGCTTTGTGGAAAATTATGGAGATACGTGCATTAATCCCAGACTCAGAGTTTAAAGTGAATAAATACAGTTGTTTCACAAGCATCAAAACTATTAATAGATATATTTAGAATGTACCTTCCACCTTTCATGCCCTGAAATTCTACAGGTGTTCATATTTAACCTCTTTTGTGTTTTGGAAACACTTGGCACTCTGGGTCGGCAAACATCCCAGGGTTGAAAGTAGTGGGAGTTGAAAAGCTATGGAATAGCAATCAGAAAGAAAGGGAAACCCTCAGTGGAAAGTATGTGCAGACTGTGAAAATGCCAAGCAAGGGCTGTCTCATTCTGTGCCCTTTATGCAACGTGTGTATTATTGGGGATGGACAAGTGTTGGCTAATAATAAAAATTATTTGAAGTTGGAGAATGTTAATCACTCACACTGGAATTTAGCCAGAATACTTGTGTTATTTCACTTGGTTCTGATTCAAACGATGTTATCTACTGGTCTGTAAACCTCTCCCCTCTTAATCAAGAGCGAAATGTTATTTTTGCTTGGAGATCTCTAATAATAGTAGTAACAACAGCAGGAAACTTTGCCAAGAGAGACTTATTTTGCATTGTATAGTTTTTGTATCATTTAAAATTTTGCTTTTTTTACACATACTACTTCAGTTTAAAGGCAGTTTAAAATACACTCTTTAACATGTATTTAGGCAGGCTGCTAAATAATTCATTTAGAGCTCATTTGATCGTTGCAACAATCAGATGAAATGGGTACCATAATGGCTTGCTTGAGGTGACCAATTTAGTCCATCAGAAGGATAGAAACCAAATTGGTCTCCCGACTCATAATTTATTATTTAACAAACTAGAAAACACTACGTGATTTTTTAAAGGTGCAATTTGGAAGCATTCTTGTCAATGAATTCGCTCATCTGTACTTCCACTCGTAGCCATTCGTCCGTCCGTCTGTCCGTCCGTCCATCCATCCGTCCATCCATCCATCCATTCATCCAAGAAACATCAGTTTCTGAGTTGAAGACACAACTATGTTAAACATGTTTCTGCAAAGTGAAATTCATGAAATTCAACGTAAATTATTGTCCTGCGTGTTTATGAATTGATGAAAATACAGAGAACGATGCTAAGTATTCCATCAAGGGGGGCATCTGGGTGGCTCAGTCGGTTGAGCATCCGACTTTGGCTCAGGTCATGATCTCACAGTTTGTGGGTTTGAGACTTGCATTGGGCTCTGTGCTGACAGCTCAGAGCCTGGAGCCTGTTTCTGATTCTGTGTCTCCCTCTCTCTCTGCTCCTCCCCCACTCACACTCTGTCTCTCTCTCTCTCTCAAAAATAAATAAACATTTAAAAAAAATTAAACATTTGGGGCGCCTGGGTGGCTCAGTCGGTTAAGCGGCCGACTTTGGCTCAGGTCATGATCTTGCGGTCCGTGAGTTCAAGCCCCAGGTCGGGCTCTGTGCTGACAGCTCAGAGCCTGGAGCCTGTTTCAGATTCTGTGTCTCCCTCTTTCTGACCTTCCCCTGTACATGCTCTGTGTCTCTCTGTCTCAAAAATAAATAAATGTTAAAAAAAAAATTAAACATTTTATCAAGTAAGTGTGTGATATTCCAAAAGTGTTGAGGCACTGGCTTTGGATTTTGTCACCAGGGAATAGTTGGAGCATTTTGAATCTCACTAGACTTGTGTTCCTTATCTATGCATTATTCTGTTGACACACTTGAGAGTTCCGTGCTATAGGAATGACTGGACAGGTTAACTTTGTATAATCTTCAGTGTCTTCATAATCAAGCCTGGAACCGTATGCTGCACACAAACACCTTCAGTAAATATTTGTGAAATAAGTGGATGAATGATTGACAACATGAATGAGATTACCTTCCTAAACTTTAGCAGCTGGCATTGAATCCTTGCATGCAGCTTCTCTTACATCTCTGAGGTTGACGATATACAAATGCAGCATGAGTCCAAGCCTTGTCCCTGCCTAGCAGCTCAACCACCTAACAGCTCCAGGGGCTCTCTGCTTGCCTGCAAAATGGAGTTACAGATAGTTAGCTCCTTCATAGTGTTGTAGTGAGGGGATAAATGAATTTATACGGTAAAGGGCTTAGAACCTCATTTAGTGCCTGGGAAGTCTATATAGTCTTAGTCATTATTATTAGTTTCCACTATGGTTCATTCTACTTGTCTGTTTTCCCAACGTTTTATATTCTCTTTTGCGTATTACTTTAATAATGGGGGAAAGTTACACTTTTTAGATGCACTTTCTGTGGAGCACACTCTCAGCCGTCACCAGCCATCTCTGGTAGTTAGATATTAGATACATTTTATGCCAAAGCAGAGATCATTTCACTTGCCCTGAATGCAAGTGCAACCAGCCAGTCACTATGCAAACGTACACAGTGCTGGCCCAGAAGAGACACTGCCAGCCGACATGAATCCCTCGCAGGTGTTTCCAGACTGGCTCCTTCCATGTCCTAGAGCGTTTCTGATCTCTTCTCTTACCAGATCACACACCTCTACATGAGAAACCAAGACCCTAATCAGAGAATTGACAAGAGGAGTCATTTACCCATGTGCATAATGAGAATGCCTTGTTCACATTATAAGAGGAATAATTCAACGATAATCTTTAGTCCTTTCTGCTCCACCATGGTGGTATGGTGGAGATTATAGAAAAGCAAAAGCTTTTTCTTCCCCCAAAGGTAATGGAAGTACTAATCTTTCCCACATTAAACTGTGCCTCTTAGCGGCACATTATGATCACCTGGGGGAGCCTTAAGAAACACTGATGCTTGGGCCCTATTAAATCAAAATCTCTAGTTCAGGGACCATTGAGATCTCATTTTTTGGTTTTGCTTGTTTGTTTGCCTGCTTGTATTGCTGTTTTGTTTTAACTCTCCAGGTGATCCTGATTTTTAGCTAGGCTCAAGAATAACTGACACGGATGATTTTGTCATTTTCTCAGTCCAGCCCCAAGCTTGGGCCCAGCTGGATCTTCTGCAAAAGGGGTTAATCACATCAGTGTGCAAATGGGGCACCTCGGGAGAAAGTATAGAGAAGCGCAGCCTAATTGCATGTGAGTCTGTTTGGACTGAAGGAAAAATGGTGTAAAGCAACAGAACTGTGGTATGGTGATGATATGGTTAACAGCAGTGGAGACAATAATAACACTTTATGTATATCATCTCTTTTGCCTCTGGAATCTTGTAAGGGCGATATTATTATTTCCATGTTATAGATTAAGAAACGGAGGTTCAGACAAGTTAAGTAACTTGTTATACAGGGTTACATAGCTTCCAACTTAGATTTTCCTGACTCCAAAGCCTATGCGGCCATCGACTGCAGACCTCAAGTTAAGCCCAGCAGAGAGGGTCCTGAGAACCACCAGATGGTAAATCTTGAGAGAAGCAACTCTCCTTGTTCCTTTGCATCACTTTCCTAGGGACCAGGTTGAATCTTCAATTCTGGTGTGGCCTCTTGTGGAGGAGGGGCTAATGTGTGAGGAAGCTGAAGACTCTGGATTCACCTGGAATCCAGTGTGAGACTAGAGCCAATTTGTTCTCTGAGCTTTGCAGACCAGGCATGAGGTGGGACGCCCCTTAGACTTAGAACCTCCCTGGCATCTCGGCAGGTCCAGGTCAGTAAATATTGATGTCACGCATGCTGTGGGCCAAGCACTGGTGCTGGGGTGCAAAGATGATGAGGCAGGGACTTTCCAGGCAGGGCATGGTGGGAGCATAGCAGATGCACCTATCTCAACCTGGTGGCTCAAGGAAGACCTGGGCTCTGCCCAGAAGGCCGAATAGGAGTTAGGCAATTTATCAGTCAGAGTTTAGTACAGGAAAGAGAAACCACCCCAGGTATTTCAAGCAGAGGAAGACTTAATACTGAGAATCAAGCAGGGCCTCGCAAAATTGTTGGAAAGGCTGGAGGGGCAGAAGTCAGGAGGCTACCTGGACTGTTGAGTTCAAGGGACCACCACAGTAG